GAAGGCCTGAACCTGTATAAATCCTTTGTCTCCAAACCCATACACTTTTCCAGCTTGATAGCCACCCCTTTTTATTATTGCCGAAATCTAGTTTCGACAGTTATGTCACTATAGTTACCAAACAAGTTTATTGGGCAAAGGCATTTTTTTTTACACGTCACTAAAGCAACACTAGCCTCTTCACCCCTCCAGCAAGACACCCACCCACTCTCTCTAGCTTACTACTAATATTTATATTACCAAATTAGTTTTATTAAATTAGTAATTAAATATATTTTTATAATAAAAATATCCTGGGTCGAAAATATTACTATTTTCCTATAAACTTGATTAAACTTGAAGCCGTTTGATTTTGACCAAAGTCAAAACATCTTATAACCTTAAAATGGAGGGAGTAGCTCCGAAGTCCGATCCTCTTCCACAGCCAAGGCGACATCAACAAGACAGCGATGCATCCATTGTTGAGAACTCGAGAATACCACCCCTAAGCACCACAATGCCAGAACCTAATCTGGCATATATTGGCACCATGCACCATTTCACTTAAACTTGAGATGATAAACGGATGATGAACAATGGTCATTTTATCATTTTGATAAGGAAAAAAAAATCTCCGGAGAAACTTTGGTGAGAGTGATTCAAATCTTAGACAAATTTTAGTGAATTCACAGCACATCGAACAAAACTCAATATAAATGGGCTTTCAATAGGAATTTGCTGAAATAAGGGATGTGCTGCTGGTTTCATCTTTTTTAAGTGTGTGTATAGGAGGCACATTCGCGAGGGTGAGTGTAGTGTTGCGTGTAGTGGTGTGTGTGCACGTTTATGTCTGTTGTGTAATCACAAATGTAGTGTTTTGGATTGGTTTTGCAAATTTAAAATCTACTCCTTCTATCCCATAATATAAGACGTGGACAAAGTTGGTATAATCTCTAAAACTAATCTTTAGCTTATATTTCTCATATACTATAAGGTTTGTAGCAACAAAATTATAACCATATGAAAGTAAATTTAAATCTCAATCTAATGATATAATTTTTAGCAAATAAAATTCATTTTATATTATACTAAGTGTTGGTTAAATTTTTTAAAGGTTGAATCTTGAAATACGTGCACGTCTTATATATTATGGGATGGAGGGAGTACATAAAAATGAGATTCCAAAAAAGTTGTACAATGAATAGATGGCTGAAATTTATTATAGTTAGGTGACCGATTAATCAAAGTGAAGAAAAAAACACTTCTACTTAAGTGATCGATGTCTATTTGGAAGGCATTTTGATGGCTGCGGCTTATAATTAAGTCGATAAAACGTGATCGAAAAAATGATAAATAATTTTATGGTAAGAAAACTATTTTTAGCAGGAAAAACAAGAAAAGAAATGCCAGCAACAATAACAACGAAAAACATCCCTAAGTAATTCTAGGCTTCTTTGGTTTGAAGCCAATTTCTGCTCTATCAAAATATTGATAGTGCTAAAATCTTAGTAAGTTTTGGTAATATCAAAATTTGTAGTATTGAATTTAAACTATTATAGGTAGAATTTGGTATTACTAAATTAAACATGCATTTACCATTATTGAAGTTACCAAAATTCAAAATTTTAATAGAGCAGCAAAAGATTGGCATCAAATGAAACAAGTCTTAAAATTTATTCCAACTCAAGAAAAACAAGACCTTCCTATGCGTGCACTCCAGTATCTGTTCTTGCAACTCATACAAGATGATATGTACATCTCGCCTCCGTGACCGTCCATCGATATATAGATGTTTTGATTTGATACAGCACGAACCTAAAATGTCCTTTAGCCTACGGGCTACGGCATGCAAACCAGACGAGTAGTAGGAGTAGCGTTTTGGTGTGGCAAAGCATCAAGGAGGAGGCAGTACGTCCATGCATGCAATGCAAGGGTACCTTCACTGGTGGAGAAACCATCTTTGGTCGGTCCACCAAATTTCACAATAATTCTGGTTGTATTAAAAACCGGGACTAAAAACATCTTTAGTCCCGGTTTAAAAGCTCAGAGGATTATTTTTATCCTTAGTCCCGGTTGGTAACACCAACCGGGAAAAAAGATCGATATAAGCTTTAGTCCTGGTTGGTAACACCAACCGGAAAAAAAATCAACATAAGCGGGGTGATTGCACGCGGATCGGATCAATACAATCTCCTCCTCTCATTTTTTAACTCATCTCCTCACAGAGTCACCCTTAACTCTTCCTCTCCCTCCTCCCTTCCTCTCCTCCTCTTCCTCCTCCCCACCTCCCTCTGCAACGGCGGGGCGCGGAGGGCCGGCCCGCGCGGTGGCGCGGTGCGCGGAGGGCTGGGCGAGGCGGCGCGCTGGTGGCGGGCGTCCTCGCGGCGGTGGCCGGGGACGCGGCGGGCGGCGGCTGCCGGCCGGCGCGGCGGCGCGGCGGCGCGGCGCACGGAGGGCCGGGCGAGGCGGCACGGCGGCGGCCGGCTGCCGGCGAGGCGGCTGGCCGTTCGTCTTCTTTCTTTCTTTTTTCTTTTTTTTTTGAGAATCTGTGATTCGGATATGAGATGATTTGTGTGTGATGTGAATATGTGATGTATTTGTGATTAATTTTGTAGAAGTTGTGATGTAATTTTTTTAAGATTTTGTGATGTATTTAGAGATATTGATTTGAGAATTTGGAGACTATTCGGGGATGATTGATTTGGGATTTTGGGATGGGATAGAGTGAATCAATATATTAAAAACAATGAAGAAAAGAATAGAATAAAGTAGCAACCGGATCTAGCCTCTTTAGTCCCGGTTGGTGTTATCTTTAGTCCCGGTTGGTAACACTAACCGGGATTAAAAATGGATTTTTACTCCCGGTTTTTTCACCCGGGACTTCCCGGATTCGTAGTCCCGGTTGGAAAACCGGGACTATATGGGGGTTACGAACCGGGAGTAAAAACTCCTTCTCCACCAGTGCTTTTCCTCTTATCAGGAGTACAAATATATTCTCTTCGTCTAAAAAAGCCCATCTAGTATTACGAATCTGAATATACGTATATCCTGATCCATAGTAGTAGGATATATATGTCACATTCAATTATAGATTTTTTTTCATAACACGAGTTAGGTGGTGTTTGGATCACATGGACTAATTTTAGTCCCTGTCACATCGGATGTTGGGATATTAATTATAAATATTTAATGTAGATTAATGATAAAATTCATTCCATAACTCTGGACTAATTCGCGAGACGAACATGTTGAGCATATTTAATCCATAACTAGCGTATGTGATGCTACAGTAAACATACCATTAGTTTTGTCTCGTAAATTAGCTCTGATTTATATAATTAGTTTTATAATTAATCTATATGTAATACTTTAAATTAGTGTCAAAAATCTGATATGGCATGGACTAAAGTTTAATGCTAGGAGTAGGACGTCGACGTTCCGAACAACTAAACGAGATGAAATGAAGCCATGGAGCAGAAGAAAAGCAAGAGCAAGGTGACACGCAAAGGCACGATCGAATCGATCTCGCCGATCTCCATATGCGTGTCTCCCGGGGGTCCGATCGAGCGCGAGGGATTCGCGGGCGCGCGATCTGACACAATTTACAGTCGCCGTTGCAATTTTACCTGCAGAGATCACTAGCTGTCGTCCAGCTCCTTGTTGTGATCTCATACGCCTACGCGATGTCACATGCATGCATGCGTACATGCAGCCAGGCCAGCCATGGATGCATGGTACGTACTCCAGCTCAGCTTCTGCAGATCAGAGATCGCGCCATGCTCTGAATTCTGTAAACGCGATCGGTGTACTGGGCTACCAGCTGGGTGCAGGCAGGTACATGCAGTCGTGCAGGTCTCAGTTTCAGGCCTGTTTAGTTTCTAAACAAAAAAAACTTTTCATCTGTTACATCGAATGTTTGAACACATATATAGAGTATTAAATATAGAAAAAAATTCTAATTATACAGATTACGTGTAATTTGTTAGACGAATCTTTTAAGCCTAATTACTACTTGATTTGATAAAATGGTGCTACAGTGAATATTTGGTAATGAAGGATTAATTAAACTTAATAAATTCGTCTCGCAGTTTACAGGTGAAATATATAATTTATTTTGTTATTAGTTTATGTTTAATACTTCAAAATGTGTCGTACATTGTACATATGACACGCCAAAACTTTTAAGAGGCCTCACACAAGTGGAGCCATGACAATATGACATGGAAGCAAAGGGCGTGATTGGGTGAAGCGACGGTGGGGGTGTGCAGGCGCCGTGCGTGAGTGGAATTGAAGTGCATGCGTCAACCGAACCTGACATGCATGAAGGGCATGCAGGCCTGACTGGTGGACGTACGTCTGCGTCGAGTCTGTCGGTCTAGTGTGCAGCCATGGGTAGCGAGAACGCCATTGCGTCGGCTTTTGCAAAAGCCATCGATCGAGCTGGGAGTTGGGATGTGAGAGCGAGAGAGACGACGGCCGTCCCGTGATCGTAGCTAGCTCCTCGTTGCTTGCTTGCGGCGATGGCCTAGTAGAGGTCGTACTATGCGCGCGGACGGACGCCACGCAACGCAAGCCCGCTGTCAGTAGACGTCACCCGGTCGCGTGCATAGATATGCAGCGGAAGCTCCCGGTGGACCCGCCGTATCCGTGCTACCCCACTGCAGAAGCCTGTGCCAACTGCCAAGTGCACGCTCCAACTCGGGCTTCCGGTCTCTCAGTCATGATCGATCACACGTACGTGACGTTACCAGGCCGCCCGAGGCTGCGTCTTGCCACCAAACTAGTCTGCGATGGGCTGAGGAGTAATGGGCTCTCCGTTCCCGTGGTACAGCGGTTTGTGTGGGCGCGTCCACGGCCCACACTAGTCTACCACTACTGTGTCTAACAGGGCCGCTTCCCGTGGTCGATCTTACCAGGCCGAGCGCGAGCCTCGTGGAAAGCGTAGCCACTCGCCAGCTAGAGAGGGTCTAACGTTCCACGAAAACCGATCGAAAATCACGAAATTTTCGAGATTTGAACGTGGAACGAAAGAAGATTTCGAGTGAAATCTTAAATATCTTTTTGAAAATTTAAATTTGAAACAGTAATTTTTTAAATTCTAACTAAAATTATCAAATCATCGGATCGGGGTTTGGCGTTCAACCAGAGAGGTGAACTCATCAAGGTTCACTTCAGTTCGTTCAGTCAGGTTGCAGGTTGAAAACCTTCTGCTCTCGTAAATCGGCTTATGAAAACGTTGAATCGAGCGTGCTCAACTGGTTCGGCCCGGCTCGGCGATGGCGGCGGCGGCGGCACAGGGCGAGCGGCCGGACCTGGGCAGCCTGGTGGACGAGCTCTGCGCCACGGGCCGCGCCGCCGAGGCGCACCACCGCGTCTCCCTCCTCTTCCTCTCCTCCTCCTCCGCCGCCGTGCCGTCCCGCCACCTCGACGGGCGCGCCGCCGATGGCCTGCTCCGCCGCCTCCTCCGCGCCCGCAAGCCGCTGCTCACGCTCCGCCTCCTCCAGGCCGCGCCGCCCGCCGCGCTCGTCCCCTCCCTCCCCAACTACAACCGCCTCCTAGCCCTCCTCTGCGGCTCCTCGGCCCCGCTCCTCCTCGTCCTCCTCGCCCACCGCCTCCTCCTCCGCATGCGCGCCGCCCCGGACGCGGCCACCTACGCCGCGCTCCTCGACGGCTACGCCCGCATCCCCGACCCGCGCGCCGTCCGGAAGCTGCTCGACGAAATGCCACGCCGCGGGGTGGCTCCCAGCTCACTCGCGCGCAGTTACCTCGTCAAGGCCTTGCTCCGCAGCCGCGACGTCGACGGGGCTATGGCCCTTGTCGACAACCATCTCTGGTCTAGCATGGAGCGCAGCAACGGAGAAGACCAGGAACTGAAGAATGCCGCGTTCGCCAACCTCGTGCAATGCCTCTGCATCGAGGGGTTCTTCCACATTGTCTTCCGAATTGCCGAGGAGATGCCACAGCAACGGTGCGGTGTTGCCGACGTGTTTGCCTACTCTCAGATGATTGACTCCCTTTGCCGGTCTGGGCAGCACCATGGTGCATCCAGGATAGTGTACATCATGGGGAAGAGGGGCATGTATCCAAGCACCGTCTCCTACAATTGCATTGTTCATGGGTTGTGCACCAGCCAGAAGCCTGGGGGGCGCTTGAGGGCGTACCAGCTAGTGATGGAAGGCGTGCGTTTCAGGTATCACCCAAGGGAGGTAACATACAAGGTACTAGTTGATGAGCTCTGCCTGGAGAATGAGCTCGCAAAGGCCAAGGATGTCATGGAACTGATGCTGAAGGTTACTCCTGATGATGACACCAGGACTAGGATATACAATATGTTTCTTGCAGCACTCCGTGTTGTGGACAACCCAAGTGAGCAGCTTGATGTGCTAGTGTCCATGCTGCAGGAAGGATGCAAGCCCGATGTGATCACCATGAACACTGTCATCCATGGTTTCTGCAAAGTTGGAAGGGCCCAGGAAGCCAGGAGGATTGTAGATGACATGCTGAATGGGAAATTCTGTGCTCCAGACGTTGTGACCTTCACCACCCTCATATCCGGATACCTGGGTGTAGGTGAGTTTGCAGAAGCCCTGCATGTACTGTCCACTCTGATGCCCAAGCACCAGTGCTTGCCTAATGTTGTCACTTACAATTGTGTCCTCAAGGGACTGCTCAGCCTTGGGCTACTTGACAGAGCAATGGAGGCCCTTGAGGAAATGAAGTCCAGTAACGTCATTCCTGACTCCGTGACTCACACGGTAATGATCAAAGGGTTCTGCGATGCTGGAGAACTAGAGAAGGCAAAGTCATTTTGGGACAATGTTATCTGGCCATCTGGAATGCATGATGATTATGTGTACAGCGCGATCTTCAGAGGCCTCTGTAAACTAGGGAAACTAGAACAGGCATGTGATTTCTTATATGAATTGGTGGACTCTGGGGTTGCACCTGGTGTCCTGTGCTACAACATTCTCGTCGATGCTGCCTGCAAGCAGGGATTGAAGAAGCTGGTTTATCAGTTAGTGAAGGAGATGAGAAGGAATGGCATATCACCGGATGCTGTTACTTGGAGGATTATTGACAGATTGCACCTCTACAGCGATGAAAAACAGGATGGGGAGCTCCAGATGTCCGCTACTGATGGGGATCCAAGTTCTGCGGATGACACAGTAGATACCCTCATTTCAAATAGAGATGAGAAGCATACGCCGTCATTGCCATCTAAAACATCCAAATTTGGGACGGTGGTGCGTGACGATAGCAGCAAATGTGAGGAAGAAGAGGTTGACTACTCACCATGTGCTAGTGAGGATCCACCAAATATTATTGAACCTGCCAAAGAAGAAGCATGTCCAATGAATAATTCAGGCGCTGGTACCACAATGGGCAACAGGGGTATGACTAGGGAAGAAGGCCTTATGAAGCCAGATAAGCAGCCTTTGAAAAGAGAGCTGCTGTCTAGAGTGGCCAGAAAGGTGTTTGGACTGTTATAGAAATTGCTAGTGATTTGCTTATTTTTCGCTCGCGAGATTAGTTAGCAAAACAGCATCAAATGAGAACTGAAATGCTTCATAGTAATATTGTATTGGTACTTGTTCTGTAAATTATTTATGACTTCTTAGAGCAAATGTAGCTACTGAAATATATATCAGATTTTGCTGTCAAAGCTTGTGAAACTCTGAATGATATGAATAATTTTTTAGCCATTTCAGAGAATTCTAGGAAATGTCGAAGTCTTCTCTCACTTCTCTGCTGACTCTCTGGTCTAGTTTCCAACTTGTGCAAATGATCGCCTTGTCTACCTTCAACTTTTGCAAATAGCTGACTCTCTGGTCTAGTTTCCAACTTTTGCAAATGATCGCCTTGTCTACCATCAAATTTTGCAAATAGCAGCAATAGCAGTGACTCACCAAACTGCTTGGTTCAGATTATGGTAGCAAATTTAGTTCAGATTATGCTAGCAGTGACTCGGCATCTTGCAGGCATCAGGCATGTCAATAATGGAAAAGTACTGCCCAGGTCCCAGGAACGAGGGATCTGCCAACCAGCCAACAAAAACCTGATGAAGTAATTTTGGAGTGTGGCAACTGCAAGGGAAAGAGCATAAGCTAGCAAGCAGAACCTTGATAGAACGAAGGTGATTCAAGTATACTTGCAGAATCTATTCTTCACCTTTCTCGTTAAACCTACAACTGTGCCAATTTTGACTTCATCCAAACAAGTTCACGAAGGACTTTCAAACTACCAGACACCAAGCATCAACTCCACAACAGAATCCTGACGCAGCTGGAGATTATACAAGTTCCACACAGGTATTGCGAAGCAGCAGTAATAAACAAACCGACCGATTCATGTAAAACACGATAAGAAGTCACCATACTGCTTTTCTAGGTTCACAAGTCATCATTAGCAGTAGGCACTCTTGAAGTTGAGGCGACCAAATATAAGGATTCTTCAAATTAACCATCCAAGTTGACCACAGCATAACATAACATGGATTGAATAACTAGAGGTACTAAGATGAAGTATCAAAATTCAACAACTCCAAAACTAAGATATATGTGGAATACACTCTAGTCTTCCTCCTCGCCCTCGTTCTCAGCAATGTTGAAGTATCTGAGCTCATAGACATTGCGGTCCTTGTTAGCCGCAATAACACGTAGCCAGTCCCGCACATTGTGCTTCTTCAAGTACTTCTTGGTCAAGTACTTCAGATACCTGAAAAAAATGGGGAAAATAAACTGATCAGATTAAACTGAAATACAACAAAGGTCACAGACAAGAAGTTCTTTTTGGATGATCAATCAGAATCTAGATATAATTGGATGTCCAATAAAATGTTCACAAGAATTCAGATATGGAATTTGACAAAACGGTACATGCAATTTATGTTCAAATTGTAGAGGCTAACAGGCCCAAATTTCTAAATACTGATCATAACACATGGAAACCATGCTAGACTGTACATTCCACTGTCACACTTGAAGATTTTCAACCACCTAGCAATACTATCACACAATTACTCACTTGGGAACTGAAACGATTCAAATAACTGCAGTTGATCCATCCAGCAGTAAACGAGGTAAAATTATGACACGGTATAGTTAGCAATACTCTAACTAACTAGTTCACTAATGTGCAATGAAGAAAGGGAAAATTTTGTAAACAAGAAATCATTATAATTCTCTACCTAACTAGTTAACTAGTTATTGTTAACGAGCTTGCAGGTAGTAGAAACGCTGTAACAGATTAACTAAACGCATTATAAATTATAAAAGCTCCATATCAGAAAACGTAGTACAATTTACAACAGTAAAAATGGACCGAAGTCAATAGCATCTACAGATAAAGCTGTAATAATATACCAACAAGAAATAACCTTTACACTAACATGAATACACAGAAACTGAAATGACCAGATCTACAAACAGAACATCACGAGGCCGTAGAGCACGGGGGGACTTGAAGCGTGTGCTATACCTCTTGGAGAAGGCCCCGTCGGAGGTGACGGTGACCTTGGTCTTGTCGCGCGTGACGGTGACGGAGTCGCCGAGGTTCCCGGCCTTGCCGCCGGCGACCTTGATGCGCTCCTGCAGGAACTTCTCCAGCGACGCGATCTCCATGATCTTGTCCTCCACGGGCTTGGAGCAGTCGATCACGAACGAGACGGAGCCCTTCTTCTTGCCGCCCGCGCCGCCCTTCGCCGCCACCGCCACGCCGCGCGCCATCTCGCCCTCTCGCCGCCGCTTCGCGCTGGTGGAAGCTTGGTTGGGGGTGTGTGGCGGCGCAGAGGCGGCTAGGGTTTACCGGGGCGAGGGGAATGGGTGCCCGCGCGCTATATATAGGCCTAGTGGGCTGCCATTCTCGTGCCTCGAGTTCGCGGGCTTAACTGTTGGGCCTGATCTACATTGGGCTTGGTTCATAAAGGCAAAGTGGGCTTATAGATTGGCCCAACTATAGTATACTATCTTTCAGTGTTTTGGCCCAACTAGAATAGCTGAATCATATCAATTGTGTTGGGTTTTAGCCCATTCTCGGATAAAATGACGGACGATTTGTTTCTAGTAGCTCTCCTTTTTTTTCATCAGGAAAAGAGAGTTTTATTTATTAAGTAACATTATTACAATCTTTCTACAAGTATTGCATAACACAAGTAACAGCATTATCTTGCTGCAAGCTCATTTTAAACTTTTTTTATAATTATATAGCTCGTTTTAATTGCTGGGTACAACTCAGCCTACATACTGCTACTGGCTCGATGCAAAAAAGGCAAAGTTTTTCCCTAAAAAAAAAAGGCAAAGTTCATTGCAACCAATGGTATAACCGTATAACATAATCATAATCGCAGAGTATGTTCCTTCTTCAGTCAATAAGAGCATAGCTCTGTTCAGTGTCATACTATCATCTACTCCTACTCTCTGGTTTGCATTAGCAATAAATAAAATAAGGCCCCCTTTGATTTAAAAGAAATTCATAGGAATTTCAGGGCCCATTTGAATCAAAGCATTTATATAGGAATTTTATAGGATTCAAATCCTATAGGAAATTTTTCTATTTGGTCCTTTGATTCAAAGGATTGAAGCTTTCCAAAACCTATGAAATTCCTATGGAATGGCAACATTTTACACTTCAATTCCTGTCAGAATCTTGTGTTTTTCCTATTCCTCCGTTTTTTTCTACCCTGCGATTCAAAGGGGCCCTTAGAGGATTTCATTCCTATAGGAATTTTTCCTATATAGCCCTTTATATCAAAAGAATGGATTTTATGAAATCCTATGAAATTCCTATGGATTGCCTAATGCCATGCAAGTTTTAGGGCCCCTTTGAATCAAAGGATTTATGTACGAATTTCATAGGATTCAAATCCTATAGGAATTTTTCCTATTTGGCCCTTTGATTCAAAGGATTGAAGCTTTTCAAATCCTATGAAATTCCTATGGAATGGCACATTGCATGTGGATTTTGGAGGAAATTTAGCAAGAGCTCCTACCTCTTGGAAAATTTCCTTTGAGCCTATCTCTCTCATCTGATTCCTGCGTTTTTCTTGCGCTCCAATCAAACGACCATTCCTGTGTTTTTTCCATGTTTCGTAATCCTCTGTTTTACACTTCAATTCCTGTCAGAATCCTGTGTTTTTCCTATTCCTCCCTTTTTTCTACCCTTCGATTCAAAGGGGCCCTTAGAGGAATTCTAACATGAGGTAAAACCTCTTGGAAACTTTCCTTGTTAGGCCCCCTTTGATTCAAAGGAAATTCATAGGAATTTTAGAGGATTTCATTCCTATAGGAATTTTTCCCACAAAGCTATTTGAATCAAAGGAATGAATCCTATGAAATCCTATGAAATTCCTATGGAATGCCTCTTCCCATACAAGTTTTGGAGGAATTTTAACAAGAGGTAGAACCTCATGGAAGAAATCCTTTGAGTCTTTATCTCTCCTCAAATTCCTGTGTTTTTCCTGCAGTCCAATCAAACGGTCATTCCTATGTTTTTCCTGTGTTTTGCAATCCTCTGTTTTATACTTACATTCCTGTCAAAATCCTATGTTTTTCCTAATCCTCCATTTTTTCATTCATGTGATTCAAAGGGGCCCTAATTAAAATTCCTCCAAAGGGAAGAGGCATTCCATAGGAATTTCATAAGATTCCATTGGGTTCATTCCTTTGATTCAAAGGGTTTCGTAGGAAAAATTCCTATAGGAATGAAATCCTCTAAAATTCCTATGAATTTCCTTTGAATCAAAGGAGGCCTGAGTCTTTATCTCTCCTCTAATTCCTGCGTTTTTCCTGCGGTCCAATCAAACGACCATTCCTGTATTTTTTCTGTGTTTTGCAATCCTCTATTTTACATTTACATTCCTATCAAAATCCTGTGTTTTTCCTATTCTTAGGGCCCCTTTGAATCAAAGGATTTATGTACGAATTTGATAGGATTCAAATCCTATAGGAAATTTTCCTATTTGGCCCTTTGATTCAAAGGATTGAAGCTTTTCAAATCCTATGAAATTCCTATGGAATGGCACATTGCATGTAGATTTTGGAGGAAATTTAGCAAGAGCTCCAACCTCTTGGAAAATTTCCTTTTGAGTCTATCTCTCTCATCCGATTCCTGTGTTTTTCCTGCGCTCCAATCAAACGGTCATTCATGTGTTTTTCCTGTGTTTTGCAATTCTCTATTTTACACTTCAATTCCTGTCAGAATCCTGTGTTTTTCCTATTCCTCCGTTTTTTCTACTTTGCGATTCAAAGGGGCCCTAAGCGGCCCTAAAAGGAGTAATATTTTCTCATTCCTGCGATTTAAAGGGGCCCTAAAAGGAGTAATGTTTAGTACTCCCTCCATCTCAGAACGTGACAAATTTTAGTTATGAATCTATTACAGTGTATCGCTAGATATATAGGTGGGTGATCATAGCTGCAACCGTTTGTGAGTCTGTCCATGAGAGTGGCGGGGATGTTGAGCCATCGGTTTCAGAGCAAGAGTGACGTGCAGGTCACATCTCCCCGATATCGATTCTGAAACTTGGTGATATTTGAGCACGACAACAAATCAAGGTCCATGACACTTATTTACTTTAGTGCAATTTTGGAGAACAGTAACATAATTCGGCCAGCCTTTCACATATGACAATGTATTACTGCTGAGTTAATCATCGTCATCGCAAACACAGAACGAAGTAACACATGCATTCTCCTTGATTGACAAGTTCCACATAACGAAAGCACGTAAAACAACAGAACGAATAACTTACAGCTATCATGCATTCCCCCAAAAAGAGAGTAAAACATCGGACATGTAAAAACGCAAAACTAAGAAATAACAGGGCGATCTCGTGCTGCATCCCAGCTACCACTCCAGCGACGACCTACATATATCTTGTATCATGCTTGCTTAATTCCGCAGCATAGATAAAATATTCAACTCCTACAAACATGAGCTTGCGTATTGGTTCGATTCTGACGCGATCCCATCCCCATTCTTGCAATGCAGCCATTCATGGATCTATCAGTCACCACTCACCAGTACTGCTAGCTGCTGCTCCTGCTTCTTCTATGCTGGTAGTACTGTGTATATCTTGATCAACTTCTACAGAAAATGCCGGTGAGATAAGATCGATCGAGTTCAGATTCAGATTCAGTTGTCGCCGGCGACGGAGTGGGGCTTGTGGTCGCCGAAGATGCGGTCGCGGAAGTCCTGGACCATGAGCGGGAGGCCCTTGTGGAGGGGGATCTTGGGCTCCCAGCCGAGGAGCTCCTTGGCGCGGCTGATGTCCGGCTTCCGCTTGTGCGGGTCGTCGGCGGTGTTCGGCCTGAACTCGATCCGCGCGTTTGGGTCGATGGTGTCCTGCACCACCTTGGCAAGCTCCAGCATTGTGAACTCCCCTGGGTTTCCCAGGTTGAATGGCCCTACGTGCTCCCCTTCCATCAGCTTCATCAACCCCTCCACCTGCACACACAGATCAGTTCACGGATCATTCATCGTTTGATGATCAGTTCGTCAATTCGATCGATCTCGCAGGAACCCAAATGATTCTTCTGTAACAAATTCATCTGTAGCAATCACTAGCTACGAGAAGAAAGTCGTTCGTGCCGGTTGCGTGCCGTTGTGAGCACGGACGACGGCAATATATGTACTTCTCCTGCTTGCGCGACAGGATGCACTGTTGCAGTTGCTGGCTGCTTAATTACCAACATAGATGATGCATGATTGCATAGATAGCTAGTAGTAGTAGTATAGTACATCTTTTACTGTCGCGACTAATTAGCAGCCGATTGTGTTGAAATCTAGGACGAATTATTGAGCTAACCATATGTGCAAACATGTGCTTCATTGAAAGTAGTTTGAAGAAGTAATATATTGACTTGTGGTGGTGCATCTGAAAGGGACTGCTTACCAGATCGGAGACGTACTGGAAGCTCCTCGTCTGCTTACCGTCGCCGTACACCGTCAAGGGCTCCTTCCTCAGTGCCTGCACAACCATTACCAACAATTCAGTGTCACCAGATATAAACTTCACACTTCACATCCATTGAGTAATTGTTCAGTTATTATGATGGCTAATTCGTGTCAACACCTAGTTGATCACCCATACACGCGTGTCAAAGGTTGCAGCTGTAGTTTTGCGATTGCGGCAATTGAGTGGGGTGTGTGTTCGTGTCAGGTTCTGAAGCTAAAGAAGAGTTAATTAGAACGTGATCTCCACTTGCTAATTTCGCTCTAGTTTCTGCCAATGCACCATTGTCGTGCAGCCACTCACACATCTGCGTGCAAGTCCCAAGGTCTTGGCTGACTTGGGATGGATTAACAAGCCACCACTTGGGCCACTCTTGATCCTCTCTGTCCCCTACCAAACCCCAGAACTGACCATCTTTCCAAGGTACTTGGGACTTGGGAGTATCAGGTATGGTAAAAACTAATATCTCAGCTCACAAGAATCAGTTTCAGGACTGGTCTAATTTGGGACAAATTAATTGTATGTCTCGCGTGGATCTAGATCTAGGAAGGCCGAAGGCTTGAATAGTGGAGTATTATACTGTAGAAGCCTGACAAAATGGCGAGTAAAGCGGGTAGAGAGGAAACGTGTTGAACAGTGCGTGCGTCCATGAGCACGCAGTTTCCTTTACCTGGGCGACAAAGTTGCTGACGACCCGGCCATCGTCGATGCACATACGGGGGCCGTAGGTGTTGAAGATCCGAGCAATCCTCACCTGCATGCATGCACGCCAAATAATTAACATAAAGCAATTAACTAATCCGTATTCAGTAACTGATCACTTTCTCTAATTGGATTAGTTTAAGTTAAGTTAATTAGCTTTCTGCTCATGACTACTAGAGACTTAGCTAGACATTAATTATAATACTACTGGTAGTACTATTAACTACTAATTGTGTTTTACTTTGGTTTCCAGTAAAGTTGAAGAGGCGGATGAGTGATGAAGAAATGATTAAAGGAGCTGAGATGAGCACAACCAATTAACCTCGAGGTTGGCGCCACGGTGGTAGTCCATGGTCAGTGTCTCCGCCGTCCTCTTCCCCTCGTCGTAGCAGCTTCTCACCCCTGCACACACATCCATGGATGATGGATCATTCGTTCAGTCGAAGCAACGAAACCAAATGTAGTACGGCCATGGGCATCAATGGCGAGAAGGTACGTATACGTACCGATGGGGTTGACGTTGCCCCAGTAGGTCTCGACCTGGGGGTGCTGGAGCGGGTCGCCGTAGACCTCGCTGGTGCTGGTGAGGAGGAAGCGGGCGCCGACGCGCTTGGCGAGGCCGAGCATGTTGAGGGTGCCGACGACGTTGGTCTTGATGGTCTTGACGGGGTTGTGCTTGTAGTGCACGGGGGACGCCGGGCACGCCAGGTGGTAGATCTGGTCCACCTCCAGGAGGATCGGCTCCACGACGTCGTGCCGGATCATCTCGAAGTTCGGGTTGCCGGCGTGGTGCAGCACGTTCTCCTTCCTCCCCGTGAACAGGTTGTCCACCACCATCACGCTGTCGCCGCGCGCCAGCAGCCGGTCCACCAGGTGGCTCCCCACGAACCCGGCTCCCCCCGTCACCACCACGCGGAGCCCCTTCTTCTTCAGCCCCAGCGGCACGCGCGCCCCCGCCGCCGCCGCCGCCACGCCGGAGTACTGCCGCACCGCCAGCCCCGCCGCCGCCAGCCGCGCCGCGCCGCCGTTCATCACCTCGTGGCGGCCTCCGTTCCCCGACGACGGAGCCGCCAGGAGGAAGACCAGCGACGCGATGGCCATGCCGACGAGCGCGAACACCAGCCGCTGCTCGGCGAGCAGATACCGCAGCGGGCCGAGTGGTGGCTTGTGCGGCGGCTTGGCCGATGATGAGTACCCGGCGGCGGCCATCACGCCGCAGCCGTCAACGTCACCCGCGGCCGGCTGCGCGTCGTGGCCGCGGCGGTAGATCAGCTCGGAGGAGGAGCCCGCCATGGATCAAGAACGAGCCTCCCCTCTCGTGACTCGTCGTCGTCGGAGTCGCGGATGCGGAGGGAGAAGAGAGAGCGCGTGCGTGTGCGTATTTGAGGAGGTCTCGCGGGAGTTGATCAGTTGAGGGCTTGAGGCTTGGGCGACGGCGCCGTGGGCCGTTCGATCGGATCGGCGCGCCGCCGAGGGGCCGCCACGTGGCGCCGTGATTGGCTCCGTTTCGCGGCACACCTCGCCCCTCGATGTGGTCAGATTTGCCTCGCATTGCCACCCTGCTTGAGCCTTTTTTTATTGATTCTGACTGCCACTGGTTAATACTCCTTCCGTTGCATAAAAACCAATCTAATACTGATGTAATATATTCTAATACTATAAATTTAAATATATATTTATTTAAATTTATTATGCTAGAATGTGTCATATCCCATCCTAGATTCGTTTCTTTGGACTGAGGGAGTATCTGCGTACCAAGCGTGCGTGTATCGCTGGAATTACCGGGAGTGACAGTCGTGGTGCCCAACAACGCATCACTAATTTTTAGCGACTTATGCTTTTAGCATTTTGGTTTTGTTATCTTTGCATGTGATGTTATTGGTGTCCATTTGAAGTCTCAGACAGATAATCTTCAATCTTCAGTTTATCATCTTTCGTATAACCCGCTTAATTTTCACCATTTTGCAGACGCTACCTTGCACCATTCAAGCCAATGCGCTTGGAACCGCACAATTGTCAAGCTGCCAATTCATCTGCTGTCAATATCCAATAAGAAAAGAATGCCATATGAGCAACAACTTGGTAGATTAGTCATTAGTCTGCTGATTACACGATCATTGAGGATATAATACAATCCGTACTCTGTCCGTTTTGTAGCTTTAAATTCCATGGAAATGTAATCCAGTCGCTACTGGGTAAATGGAGACATTGGGACGTTGAAATGTGGGGGAATACTAGCTAGAATGGACCACTCCTACACTCCTTCGTGGCAGCGACTGAACTGATTACAACGGCAGAGAGGAAGGAAACATCTTTGTCTGTTTCAGAATTCAGTATCTGTATACGATCTGCGAGTTTTTGGCAATACTGAACTGTTGCACCTGTACTCCTCGTGAGGTCCACAAATTTTTGAAAAGAAGTGAGGTCCACTAATTGGCTCTTCACAAAGAAGCTACCCTACATCTAACTGTATTTTATCCTTTTATTTAGAACTAACTGTATTTTATGTTAACAGCTATGGACAGAGTCGCAGCACCTGCAATCAATTAGTAAGTGCTAGTACAAGGTGTTTGATTTTACCGGTGCAGATAAGTCGGTGCAGTGCAGAGGTGGGATCTCTGAATAATCATCCAACGTGCTCAGATGCTTACAGTTGCATACGGGGAAGGTTGCATGCAGGAGGGGGTACGCGTCACGGTCCAAACTGGTGAAGGGCTCAAGGCTTTGATTAGCTTCGATCTCAACAACATATCATCTCGAAGCTATAGCTATTACTATATCTTAGCTTAGTAGTACAAGTGTACAACTACAAAGTGGCCATGCACGCCTGCTCTTCTTTCTCGTGTCATGTAGGTCTCTTTCGGCTGGCTGGCTGGCTATCTAAGTAGCTAGTCGTAGCCGGTGGATTGGACTGACGCTCGGCTGATCGCGCGGTGACAAATTGACCATGACGAACACGGCAGAATGCAATGCAACGCCCGGTTGTTGCAGCAGCTAGCTAGCTAGCCGAGATGGGAATCGGTTGGATAGATCACGGTAGATCGGTGCTCGTGCTTCGTCGCGTCGATCCGTACGTGCGCCGCCGCGTACGTTGAGTAATTCGACGACGAGCGCGTGCAAACGGAATTACGGATTTGCGCATGCAAAAGTGCAAAAGTTCAATTACGGACCGATGCAAAGCGGATGCTGTTGCAGGTTAAACACTACTCTTAAGTGGATTAATTATTGTTGTGGAGGGAAGTACACAGTTGAAAGGCGAGAGGGACGCTCCAACAGAGTCAGGTACTGAATTTATCTGACTGAAAGTTTCATGCATTACAAGTAGTAGTACCAAGAGCAAGGTCAACAGTGCAGCCCACTACTAGCTACAAATCATTTATAGCCAATATAATAACCAATTCATGCAATAGTTGTTTACTGTACTATTAATATTTGGTCTCACCTGTCATACAAACATTACATCTTGGAGCCCGTGCTGCAGCTGGCTACAGATCTGTAGCCCGCTGCTTTTCTCTCTCTTACTTTATCTTTTTAAAATATGTTTATAACTGACTTATAGACTGCTATTGCTATTGTACCTGCTCAAACTGCATCCACACTTTTCTTCGCTCTTCTTTTTTATTCACGGCCACATCATCTTGATCTCACAATCAGCAGCTTTATTGACACATGATGCTGTGATCAGGGATCATGTTGCCTTTCCTATAGGAAATTGAGATGGCTACGCAGAAAAAAGGTTGAACTGGCAGCAAGAATTTGCGTTCGCGCGTTCGCTGACAGCAAGAATTCACCTTTTGGAAAGTCAAGAAGAGCTTGTGAAACTCGCACGTATAGATGAAGCTGAGCTCTCCAAACATTTACTACTAACACGCATGTAAATTAGGAGCGGAGCTAATGTTTATTAGAGGGTGCCCAGGAATCCGGTCGACAAATTTTTTTAAGTTATACATTATCTATTTTCACTATGTATGTACCCTGCTTAATACAAACTTAGACACACGCATCAGTTTAAACTCGATTTAAGGTAGAGTAAGTTAAGCAAGTGGCACTACCCTTTATTTTGCTCTAGCTCCGCCCGGTGTAGCTTACACGGAGAAAAATGTAGCACAATGCGTAACAACATCAAAGACGAGCTTAGAAGAAAACTATTCCTAATTAATTTGTTGGGTCCCTTTCGGGCCCTTTCTTCCAAATGTCAATGTCCACTCCTTTTTGTCATGGCAAATTAGGCACCAGAAATTAGGTTGAGACGACGGAGACTTCGTCGATCGATTAGTACGCCAAACCTGTGGGGGCGGCAAAGAGCAATTAATCTCTCCCAGTCAGAGCTCACAAGAAAACTTGTTAAAGAAATCAAACAAAACGAGACCCATCGCCTGAAAACGAGGGTGACAATGTTGGTACAGAAAGAGACTTAGTTTTCCTACAAGATTCCGGCTTATGCCTGAACTAATTACCGTGCAACCACATTAACGTCAGCTTCAGAACTGCAGTAGTACATAGATACTCCCTCCCTACTCGTAAAGGAAGTCGTTTTGGACAGCGACACGGTCTCAAAAACACAACTTTAACTTCTTTTTTCTATAAAAATATTTATTGAAAAATGGTATATGTATACTTTTATGAAAGTATTTTTCAAGACAAATCTATTCATATAATTTTTACATTTTCAAACTCAACAATTTGAGAATTATTAATGATTTATATTCTTAAGGTTTGACTTAAACATTGTCCTAAACGATTTCCTTTATGAGTATGGAGGGATTACAGAATAAACACTATTACAGAATAGCTACTGGCAGATACTGTTCATTCACAAAGTGTGTTCAGATTTTCACAAGGATTAAGGTTGGTGTTTGGTGTCACCAACATGCACAATACGGTTTTGAAGTCCAGCCAGGGTGTAGACTTCTTTTTTTGATGAACCCAGGGTGTAAAGGGATCGGTAGGGTGTTTCTGTGTAGAACTACTCCAGAGTCCAGATCTGGACTAGAGAGGTTCAGATACCTTCTTTCAGGAAGTTCAGATATCAATAAAAGTATAAATTGCATATGCTCTTATAGACTTATGCCTTTGTGTGTTCTCAACTCCTATTGTCTTTTGGATCCTTTATGACATGTCTTTCCTTATGCTCTTAGTTTGGCAATGTTCGGTAGCTGGCCGTCTGGCATCTTGGACCATATTCAGCATAAGTTGCTTACAGTTCTTAAGTGAGTTCAGGAAATAAACATGGGCTGCTAACATCTCACTTGGTAGTAATGAGGAAATTAATGGATGAAGTGGCATCATTGACATGGAATATTATCACACTCGTGACACATATCACTCCCAGCTTTTCTTTAGCAAATTTAGGTGTGTTTAGTTACTGAAAAAAGTTAAAAATTTGGGAAAAGTTGGGAGTTTAGAAAAAAAGTTAAAAGTTTATGTGTGTAGGAAAGTTTTAGATGTGATGTGATGGAAAGTTGGAAGTTTAGGGTAGTTAGGGGTGAACTAAACACAGCCTTTGTCAATGAAATTTGACTAGCACCTCTGTTGTTCATACTGCAGAGATGATTATCTACCCGATGATTCTGGAACCAACAGTCGTGTGTACTAGTAATTCTGTATCCACAATGCTCTACCGACACATATATGATTCGATCTGAGTTTACTCACTCACCAGTGATACTTCTGATCATTAAAAAAAAACAGTGATACTAGCAACGAGTGAAAGGCACTTTTCTTTCTGCTACTAAGCAGAACGAGTGAAAGGCATTTGTGGTCGTTTTCTGCACATGACACGGCACATTATTTCCCGTTTCCTCTACCCGTTCTTCTTCTGATGTTTAGTAGCATATTATGTGGCCTTCTGCTTCATGATTCGCATCGTCAAGAAAGGCAAATCGCAAGTTGAGAAAGAGACAAGGGTGTTAGGTCGTTATGAGTTGGTGGTAAACAGAGATGGCAACTTGATCTAAGGCCCTGTTTATTTCAGCTTGGGATTATTATAATCCAGATTATTAGGAGTGATCTGAAAGAAACAGACAACTTATTGAAGTAGCTTATTATAATTTGGAGCCCAGCTTATTATAATCTGATAAGCTCATTTCGGTGAGTTTTTTTCCAGATTATTAGATGAAAAATTACCCACCATGCCACCCCACTCCCTCTTTAGACTTACAAACCCAATAATCTAGGCTCTAATAATCTAGAAAAGAAACAACTAACCGCTTATTCTACTACAGATTATAATAATCTAGCTTATAGTAATCTGACTTAATAATCTAGATTATAATAATCCCCAGCTGAAAGAAACAGGGCCTAAGGCCATGTCCCTCAATTATTTCCCTCCTCAGGATTCATCAGCAACTTAATAGGTTTCATATTATGATGTCTCACAAGTCACAACAGCATCACGACCTGCCCTGTATTTTCATGTGCTCTTCCTTGACAAAATTCTGAGCACACTATATTAAACTGGTAATCTTCCAAAATATATATTAAAATGGTAATAACAGTCTGAAACTAGTATTAATACTTCTTTGATCCTTTGAATGCTGAGAACACTACTCGAGGAGATTCGATCACTCCGAGATCTCCAAAAACCTTTGATGGAGAGGTCAAACGTCCAACATGGTTTCAGTAAAGAAATCTTCTTCTGGTAACCAAGGAAAACAAATGCATATCTCTGTCTGAATTTCAGTTTTATCTTCCCTAGGTCTTTGATCATTGAGCCATGCCCATTTCCAAATAATTCGTTCGCAACTCAAACTTCTGTTTTTTGAGCTTGTGTCGGTTTCTTTGACATTATCTTGCCTTCACCTGTGCATTTTCTTATCATGGACCGGTTTCTGAATGCTGCCTCGGTTAGGTGCAGATTGTCTAGTAGCATATTGCAATCCATCCAATTCAAGCATTTTATCAGCAACATAACTCGGAACTTATTGGCCATTTCCTTTTTCCTTGTAGCATACTCAAGATCCATGAAACCAGGTATCTGAACCACATAACCACACGGCACCGACAGGCCATGTAACTAGATAAGTTTATCCAATTAGACAATGCTAAAAAGGACACTACAAATAAATAAAAAAAATCACCCAATTGAGAACATTTCCTTTCCCTTTTTTTTCCTTCAGGAATGAATCATGAATGGTTAGAAACCACACTAACTATAACTAACCAAAGCCATCAGATCCACCAAAGAGGAGTAGATGATCCCATTCACCAGCAATTGAGCACCTGGTGTAGGAAGCAACACTGATGTTTCACCCATCACCTCCATGGCTACATTACCATATTATTAGCGGCATGTGCTTTGAGTTAATGCCTCCTACGTGCTAGCACTATGTTACTTTGCAGTATTATATTGCAAACGAGGAAAGGAACCTAACGTAACGGTACGAAAGAGCTGACTGCCATGGCCATGGGGAGGTGTTCGTCAAAATCACCTCCTCACCGGCACACCGTCACCGGGTAAGGTATACCAATTCATGCAATCTTTATTGGTTTCAGAAGAAGCTTCTTTGTGTAATGGAGATGTTGGCAACTTATTTGGTCACGCTACCAATCATGATCGAACACCTCATGCTTTACAGTGATTTGGGGTCGCTAACCACCTTGATATAGACAAATCCAAGTCAAGATGGGTTTTGTAAATCAAAACCGACTAGAAGAGCCAATTTAAATAAAATAGAGATAAGCACTTATTTCATGGGCAAAACGGAAGGTTTTCAAGATAATCTAAAGAGAATTCACACTCTCATAGCGAAGACAGATGATTTACAGTGCAAATTGACAAAGATGAGCAAAATAGGCTAGAAACTGGAAAAGAGCAAATTGAAGTAGATTGTGTGCTCAATTGAACATGCCATGAACTTTATAAAGGAGTTGGTCTTACCTCCTACAAGATCCTCTCCACGTCTTACTCGGGTAGAACTCGAAAAACCTCAGCCCAAGTAAAACAAAAAAACAAGACCTAGTAAAATCAGAGGACTCAAAGTCAGACTCAATCGGTCTAACTGATCACATGCCACCGATCAGACCGGTCTTATAACGGCGGTCAGACCGGCCTCACGCAGAGAACCGGGTCCTTTCAAAATGCAGCCATATTTCTCTATTTTCATTCTACATGTTAAATTTGGGTGTTAACACGAAGAAGCTAGCTAGGGCAAGTAGAGTTGTTTGCTTGTTGCCACTGATGCCAAACTGCATCTCTGATTATATTCCCCATGAAACTGACAATTGCTGAACCATTTCTTTTTCAGATCCCAGAAGAAAGGCCACTTGAGATAAAAGAAATGAGCATGGTAGAACAAAGTGTCCCACATTACATTCCTCCGCTGATCTTGGTGAATACTACTCCTAGTTACTCCCTCTGTCCCAAAATAAGTGCAGTTTCACGCTATTCATGTTCAACGTTTGACCGTTCGTTTTATTTAATTTTTTTTATGATTAGTATTTTTATTGCTATTAGATGATAAAACATGAATAGCACTTTTGTGTGACTAATTTTTTTTATTTTTTTCACAATTTTTTCAAATAAGACAAACGGTCAAACTGAACACGGATATCCACGGCTGCACTTATTTTGGGACGGATGTAGTAGTTGACATGTGCAATTAATGGCAACAACAAAGACGTACGAGGTCAGCGTGTGATCAGAACTAGCAGATCAGCTCTTTACTCCCTCCGTCCCAAAAAAAGACAAACATTGGTTTCCGTGTCCAACGTTTGACCGTCTGTCTTATTTGAAAAAATTATGAAAAAAAAATTAAAAAGACAAGTCACACATAAAATATTAATCATATTTTATCATCTAAGGCCAGTCACAATGGGTGTTTCATTTGAGTGTCATGCGCATTTAATACAGTGACAAGTCAGCAAAAGAGCAATATTTGCATGAAATGGGTAGGAGAGAGAGTAAACTCGTTTCACCATGGTGACACGAGATAGCGCCGTTTCCCAGGTCACTGAAACGGGGTGAAACAGCATTGAGAGTTCATCGTTTCACCTCCGGGATCCCGTGCGAGCGCTGCTCTTCGCCATCTTCGCGCGCATCGCCGGATTCTTCCCGCGCGAGTCCCCCATCTTCCCGCGCAGCACCTCCATGTTCCCGCCCCCAAAGCACTGGCTCGAAGCTTTTTTCCCCAATCTCACCTGCAACCCTAGCGCCAGACTCAGTCCCCATCGCCCCGTCCGTCCCATACCCTAGCGCAAGAACCACGAGCGGAGATTGCGGAGCTGGATCCACAAGTAGGTGGTGAATCCTGTCCATCTGCCGCCGTCCGCCGTCCAGCAGCCATGGATCCACAAGGAGGTGGTGGATCCCGTCTGAGCGCCGCCGGCAGAGGAGGGAATAAGCGTGGGGGCAGCAACAGCAGGACTTGACGATGGAGTAGGCGGCTGAACTGTTGCCGGCGATGGAGCTTCAGGAGGGGAACTTGCAGGCAGCGGTGGCTGAGCTGTTGCCGGTGATGGAGCAGGCGCCGACGACCTCTTCAGGCCCAGCTGCTTGCCCCCACGCTTATTCCCTCCTCTGCCGGCGGCGCTCAGACGGGATCCACCACCTCCTTGTGGATCCATGGCTGCTGGACGGCGGACGGCGGCAGATGGACAGGATTCACCACCTACTTGTGGATCCAGCTCCGCAATCTCCGCTCGTGGTTCTTGCGCTAGGGTATGGGACGGACGGGGCGATGGGGACTGAGTCTGGCGCTAGGGTTGCAGGTGAGATTGGGGAAAAAAGCTTCGAGCCAGTGCTTTGGGGGCGGGAACATGGAGGTGCTGCGCGGGAAGATGGGGGACTCGCGCGGGAAGAATCCGGCGATGCGCGCGAAGATGGCGAAGAGCAGCGCTCGCACGGGATCCCGGAGGTGAAACGATGAACTCTCAATGCTGTTTCACCCCGTTTCAGTGACCTGGGAAACGGCGCTATCTCGTGTCACCATGGTGAAACGAGTTTACTCTCTCTCCTACCCATTTCATGCAAATATTGCTCTTTTGCTGACTTGTCACTGTATTAAATGCGCATGACACTCAAATGAAACACCCATTGTGACTGGCCTTAGGTGATCAGGTCATCGTTGAACCTTTCCCGTCGGCTTTCCGGCGGCGAGGATGACTCCGATCCGTTGCGGGAAGTTGATCCTGGCGGCTGGCGCTGCTTCCCGGCTGGTAGGCGTTGTTCCCCACGTTGACCGCTAAATTAATCGCCGGGACCTTCGACCCTCGCCAGGCCGTGGCTATTGGCCATGGAAGACCTTTTCGTGGGCCTAACTGGGCCGTATGAACAGCCGAAATCCATATATTGATGGGCCTATTTGGATCGCCATAATTTTTCTGTTCCTATTGGGCCAAATCTCTAATGCACCATCGAAATTAAGATTCTGGTCGGGAAGCTTAAGATTATAAGATTCTTGGTAGCCAATTTCTGATAACACTGAAATTTTCAGCTTTTAAGTTCTAGTTTATTTTTCTAGATTCTACAACTATAGATTCTTAGGATAAAATTTAGGTGACAATCTGAACAGTTTAGGAAATTTTAACAGTTTAGGAAATTTTAACAATTTAGGAAGTTAGAGATTATGTAAGAAGATGCAACTGCTAAAAGCTTCCCAAACAACCCCTGAGGGTCTATTTTAGGGATTCTGTGCAATCGCCAGAAGCTCCGACAATACATATTTTTATTCAGATTTTAAGGAAAACTAATCAAAAATTATACTAGAAGCTACAAGCTAAGAAACCTAGCTTAGCTGGATTCTTAGCTGGATTCTCATAATCTTGGGCCTGATATAAACGTTAGTAGGCCCGCAACGACATTTTGGATCACAGCCGTTGATAGCGGCCCGCCGATTCTCGCCAACATCAGCGCCGGAGAAAAGGACAAAATGCCTCAATAGTGATTTAAAAAAAAGCCTCAATAGTTACACACATATAGAAAATCAGAACATTTGATTCGTCTTGACAAGAAACAACAAATGTATTACATTACACAGCTGATGCCAGTTCATTATCATTCATCATCGATATCGCAGCGTCTGAAACCCTGAATGTTAGTTCAGCAGCTTAGCTTATACAGAAAGCAGGCAGAGAAGGGAAAACAGACAGTACGTAGGAGATTCAGACGCCACAGAATTTGTGCGTAGGAAATCATATCGATACATCTGGCGTTGATTAAGTACACAACGTCCTCTATTCTTTTTGTGGGTTGCTCTCAGGTGTGATGAACTGCTTCGCATACTGATGAACTCTTGATCCTGAACCTGACCGATGGTCGTAGTACTCCACCAGTGCAGAGCCAGCCAATGCAGCCAGTGTGAGGGCCTGAGCATGCAACCTAATCAAGGCAAAAGGAACAAACAAATTAAATAAGGATACCAATCCACCAATTGGAGCGCGCTCTTGGTACGAAATCAACAACACGCGAATTTACAGCGGCTAGCTTGCATGTTCGGGGACAGGAACGAACCTGGCGTGGATGATCTTGACGCTGGTCTTCATGCCGGGCCTCGACCAGTTGTACGCGATCGAGCTCGCCACCCCAGTCAGCCACAGCGTCCCTGTAAGCACAATCGAAGAAAGAATCGTCAGATCTCACATCAATCTCCCATCAAACATGTATGAGAAAGCGATGAGAGGCAAGATAGCTCAAGCGCGGCAGAGGCAACGCACCGACGGCCCGGAGCTTGTGGTCGACGACCCACTCCCTCATCGACTGCATCGTGCTCTTCTCCTCCGCCATTTCGTCAGGCCAACCCAAGCTCTCCTCCCAACCTCTCCGGTGCCCGATCTGTTTGTGCCTGCTGTGAACGAGGAAGAAGCAATCGATGAAGAAGGGGAAAGGTGTTTGGGCACTTTTCTTATAGCGGGCGCGGTGAGAGGCAGAGGCGTACGGAAACGGCCGTGGTGGTGGCACTGCTCAGGTGGCAGCCGCTGCACGATGACGCGGCAGGAATCCGGCAGCGCGAGCTGCGAACGTACGTGGCGACCCGTGCCTCTGTCGCGGTGGCGGTGGCGGAGATGGTTTCGAGCGCACACGCGGCTCGCGGTTTTGGGCGTTTTTTGGGGTGGATATCCTCGTGAGCGCGGAGCTGGGTCGCTGGGAATGTTCAGGTGCCCTGTGGAGGAGCCGGCCTGTGGCTTCTCCCGTGGCCGCGATTTCCGACAACGCCTCGTATACTGCCTCTCTCTTCTTTGGAAAGTAGTAGTAAAAAAAAACAAGGTTGTAGTTTAATCGTGTGGTTACTGTTCAAACAAAATAGTTAGAGCAAGTCCAAATCATATATATAGTAAATTTATACAATAGCTATCTATAGACATATACTACACAATTACCACTTTGTCCTATTTGTCATATACACATACTTCTTCCGTTCCAAAAAAACCCAATCCTAGGTTTAAATCTAGACAAATTCAATGAGTATATCTTAAAGTCCGTGTTATAGTTGACTATAAATTTATAGCCCACTGCTCTTACCTCTGTCCAGGGTTATGCTAGCCACGAAATAGAGAAGACAGCAAAGGAGTTGACACAATTGTGGCTACAGTTTCGATGTGCACAGGAGATCAATGAGTGATGGTAGCCATGACATAAGTATGTAACCCAAACAGCGATTCTCCTTCGACCGGATACCACGCGCTCTAGCACTGTTTCGCTTAGAGCAACGTGATTAAAGTAGAGGAAAGCAGGACTGGTTAATGCCAAATGGACCAGGTACGTTGCAGGATGGAATCCTCCCGGTCAAAACTGCGGCTGGGAAGCGATGAACCTACATGGCGGTTTCGGTGACTCGCGTCGCTCAAGTATATCGCGATGGAAGTTCGTACGCTTGTACAGAACAAGGTAAGCGCTGAACCGACACATTCCTTTAGGTTTTCCTATGCAATTTCCCCTTTAATCCTGTTTACTTTTCTTCATTTCAATTTGATTTTTCAGTTTCAGATTTTTCTTTTTTTCCTTGAACAGTTAAACTATCGTATTTTTCCAATATTTGAGCTGTACTAACGCATTAGCGATCCATCCTTTAACAATGAACTACTACCTCAATCCCAAATACATTTAAAGAATTTTGGCTATGAATCATTTTTTTTAAAACTAGATGAATCATTTTTTAAGTAGTAATAAAGTCATACTCGTAGAAAGCAACAGTTAAAATGTTCCGTAGGTCTAGCATGGGCCAAAGGTCAATTCGTTAGACGTCCAAACGGGCGGGCTCTTATACTGGCCCAATAAGCTCTCCATCTCATTAGGAATAAATCTATTTTGCCACCCTCTCCCTCTTGCTTTTGATCGTATTACACCTCTCCCAATTTAAAAAACCAGTGTAAATCTAATCCTTCAGTAGTTTAGGGGGTGGTTTTTGCTGACATGGAAGGTTAACCTTAGTCAAACCCACCGAGTCAACATATGACCTCTAAATGTCATAGTAATTGACAAACATATGTGGGCCCCCCACATGTCAGGTACATCCTTTTCTCCTTATTACCCATGTCTCCCTCCCTCTCCTCTCTCCATCTCTCTCCTACATGAATCAAGTGGCAGCAGCAACGAACGACAGACAAATATCCTACTCTGACAAGACCCTACGCTACCGATGCCACTCACCGCATCGCCGATGAGCATCTCGCTATATATCGTGAAATGGTGGTGGTGGTCTGCCGCTGTGAGTGAGAACAACAACGAATGGAGTGCGACAAAATGAGTGGATTGGGATTTAGGCCCACGTCATTGCGATGGTCGTTCCTCCATGTCTGGCTTTTGGAACCGAGAAGATGGCCGCTAGGGAAGACGATCGAGGAGGGGACAACCGTCGTGCCTCTATACTCCTCATTAGCGGGGTTGGCCATGTCGAGCAATGTCGGAAAGTAGAGCTCCTCCGGGTAGCATGAGTTCTGATTCAGACATGGCTACCGGAACTTTTTCTAGAAGACGCACTCACGGACCAACGTGGTTTTTGAAGTTGGGGGCGACGTTATACTCGGTTTTATGGTCGAGGGATACTTCCAACCAAGGGCAAGAGATGAGGGAGGAAAAATAGACTTTTTCATCTCATTACACGGTCACGTTGTAGCCTGCCCAAAGCTACTAGCCCATTCCACCATTGCTCACGTACGTCCCGGCCCGAGAAGAAACAAAAATTTGGAGTGTTCGTCATTTTGTCAGCTGTCACCTGTGTGTCAGGTGTTTTTGGCTCACTTCGTCCTTGTGTTGAGATGCTGGGTGCTGTCTCCCTCGCGGAAGCATCACGTGCTATTGCAAATTTGCAATTTGCACATTTCCCTTAAACTCGCGTTAAAAAGGAGGTAAACATGTGTACCTGGCGCTCCGAAATCTGCACACGGCTTTGTGTTTTGCCACTGTGCCACAACGCCCAGAATTAGAGAGGCTTCAGAAAAGAAGAGCAGCTAGCCTAGCTTGCACAACCACCAGCTCGATCGAACAAATGTCACCCCAGTTTTAGGCTCTCGATCTGGGTCCAAGTGTCCAAAATCCTCCCCTTTATAAAGCCGGGTTCACCTTGCTGTGAGATAGATGCACTACACCCTGCCTTCAACGATCATTGCTTGCTTGTCTCAAGAGCCATACTTGGGAAGAAATGCCGGCGGCGAGCAGAATGGTTTTCGAGCTGCTCCGGACAGCCTCCCGTGAAGCCTTCCAGGTGGCCATCTCCTTCGCCACAAGGCCGCCGGTCTCCAACATGGTGAAGCCGGCGATGGCCAGGTCATTCCATGACCAGAACAAGCGAGGGAGAGACGATCAGTGTCGACCAAACAGCAACCAAACGGTTTCCAGTACGGGTGTGTGGGATTATTCCGAAGTGCCACCGTGCTATATTAATTGAGTTGGCAAACAACTCAATCGAAAGACAATCTCGCATTGTCAAGATATATATTCTCCAATGTGTACCCACTCCTAACAGTAGTCATCCAATGTAAAATGTAGTAGTAGAGTAGCAATACATACGAACACATTGTCCCTTTCTTCGTTTATAATTCGAGGGAAGAGAAGTTTGCCTTGTCAGCAACTGTAGTTTATTGCAATGCAGCTTTCGAATTCAGGTAAGGCCCTGTTTAGACCCTATCTAAAAATTTTCACTCTGTCACATTGAATGTTTGAACACCTGTACGAAGTAACCTAAAAAATTTTCACCCTGTCATATCAAATATTTAAACACTTGTATGAAGTATTAAATATAGGCTAAAAAACTAATTGCACAGATTACGACTAATATTTGCGAGACGAATCATTTAAGCCTAATTGCTTCATGATTTGATAATGTGGTGCTACAATAAACATTTGCTAATGATGGATTAATTGACGAAATCTGTAATTAGTTTTTTTATTAGTGCCGAACACCCCATGCACCATATGTAATATCAAATGTAATACGCACAAACTTTACCAACTGATCTAAACACCAAGCGCGACGTCCCAACGGGCGAAGCGCGGCAGCCGTCTCCGTCGCGACGTCACGTCGAAAAAGTCTAAACCCGCGGACGCGCGCGCGCAGCTATGAAAATCGTCGCGTGATGCCTCGCGCGTGCTAAGCTAGTTGACCGTCGCTTCAACAAGGGCTCAGCTAAGCCGGCGATCGATGGTGCCGGCCGGGGCGGAGGATTATTACGGGCCGTACTACCACGGCGGCGGCCGGCACGGCGGTGGCGGCGGGCCGCCGCACGCGCTGCTGCTGATGGCGGTGGTGCTGGCGCTGGCGGTCGCGGGGCCGCGGGTGCTCGGCGAGGGCGCCGGGGAGGCGATCACCGCGGCCTTGACCGACATGCTCAGCCCCGTGGGGCTCCTGCTGCTTCCCGTCAGCCTCGTCTTCGTCATCCGCATCCTCTCCGACGACCGCAGCGCCGCCGTGCTCGCCAACGTCCTCGCCTTCGGCGCCGGCGCGCCCGACGCCGTCCACCGCGTCGGGGGTTCGCCGGTGGGGGTCGTGGTCGTGCTGTTCCTCGTACTGATGATGGTTTACTACCGGCCGTCGTGGCTGCTCCGCGGCGGCGCCGGCGCCGGCGGCGAGGGCGACGGCGAGTAGCTGTAGCAGTGAGAAGTGTTGCATCGGCCGCCTCGGCGACCTGAAGCTTCGACTTAGTCTTCGTGAAATCAGTTTTAAAAGAAAATGTAAATTAATTTCCTTATGTCCTATGCTGTATCAAAATCAAAGGATATGTTTATAGAATTATAGTGCCCCTGTTGCTTCAGTTGACTATTTCTCGACCAAAATTGAGCTTCGGACTTTCGGGCCTATATAACTTCCCTTCTCTTGCAGAGAAAAAGCTTACTGTACTTGAGTATGAAAGAGAATATATATAACATAAGGATAAATACGATAAGAGAGTAACATATCTTACACACAAGTTTTCCGTACACAATAACTAAAAAATATCATAGAAAAGTACTACTATGATTTTACTTGTCTTGGTCCTAGAAGAGAATGCATGAATTAATTTCATAGTTTATTTAGGGGTACATCCATGGATAGAAACTCTGCACAGAATGAGACAACTGTAGGTGCTGTTTCTCTTGGGCCAAACTGGTTTTAACAATTTGCACTACTGGCCCAAGCTAGCAAAGTAATTCGATATGTTTAAACACAACTAATGCTGCCACACACGGGCACAGCAAGCTCAGCAATAGGCCATACAACTATACAAGAGGGCTACAAGCTACATTGGTTATCTTACAATTACAACTGACCGGCAATGAAGAATAAATAGTGTTTAAGGCAAAACTTCTGCTTCATCAAATATGTTCAATGTCTAAGAGAGATCCAAATGCATGATTTTTGCTGGGTAGAATTCCAAATGCCTTCTTCCAGCATCCAGACGATAAGGAATTGAAACACAATTTTCTGAATTATCTTTAACTTGTCATCCAGCCAGATTTATCAGTGCTCTGCTGCCCTGCAAGTAACAATTGACACCTTAATTATTTAATACCAGATGAAACCCCGCATGTTGTTGCGAGAATTTAGTATGATAATAGTAGAAATAACATGTAATATAGCTACACGACGTAAGGTTATATAATTTGTATTTTTGATCGTTCATTGGAAAATACTATAAACCATTAAGTTGATGTGGTTTATGATAATTTAAATAGTATATAGATTGATAATCCAAAAGTAAAAGTAAGGTAACGTGGCTTTATGAGAGAAGAAAATGAGAGAAATAATTTGGACTATAGATTAATCATCTAAATGCTAGAAACAATTGAGTTGATGTGGTTTAATGCGAGAAGATAGAAATACATGTATATAGGATATTGTAGAAAATGATGGACATATATATGCTGAAATATTATGTAAATTATATGGATTGATGATTTAACATGTTTGTATTTTAAAGCTTTAAAATATGATAATGTATAGATGATATAACATGTTTGTATGAGTTTTAAGATGTAACAATTGCCAATGGATGATGATGTGGCATCTTTGCATGTTAAGTTTTAGAATGTAGTGGGTTGTAACTTTATAGATAGTATAGATAAAAAAACAAGGTAGTACACCACTTAATTATTTAATATGAAAAACAAGGTTGTATTGTAAAACAGTTGCAACAGATAAATTGTGAAACAGTTTTCAACAGTAAAAACTATCATTCTTACAGTATTCTTTCTTAAACAAAAAGATCATATATTGAGGGGCTATGGTAAGTTAATGCAAATAACAATTTCTTTATTTAGGTAAGTTCAACTGTTCAAGTTTCCTTAAGTTTTACACAAGGGAACATATCTATGAGGAAATAGTGGTCCTACAAACATGATATATTTATCATCGCTAACCAGTGATAAGCAGTGTCAACATATGACCAATGAGGCAAGATGATATAGCCAGACATAGCATTCCTTTTCGTCGCTTATGAAGTATGATTGCTCAACATTGTGATTGACAACACTCAACAATAACACATAATGAGCTTATCAGCAAGGGCACTTCCAATTGAAACAGAGAAGCCCCATGGAATGAACCGAACCAAATTCTATTCATACCTATGCAATACCATCAACCTATTATTCAAATAAAGTGGCACCATTCTAAACTCTGGATATGACAAATTTATTTACATAAACAGCAAGCTAAAATACCCACGTAGACTGATAAATAATGCAAGATCGAACACACTGCAAAAGGATGCTTGAATTGGGCACGCTAACTTACTACTAAGCAATCCAATATCCCTCTACTGTGTTAACAGATCAAAGTGTGTAGACTATGATTACCAGTAGTGAAGCATCCTCATTTCTCAGCAGGAGGTGCTACCAGCCTACCACAATACTGAGTTTTTCCATCCTCAAATCAGCAGAGAACTGCAAATCACAGTTTAGGCCAAATGAGTACTGGCAGTTGATAGTTGTTCAATCTATCGAGCCAGGCCAAAGCAAGCTAAATTGTTAACGAGTTCATAAAAAGGCATCCATAGAAGATAAACAAACTCATATTTTACCATTTAAAACATGGATGCCATTTGATTTATGACTGGGCTACTGGAGCAACCATCGTCACAGCTCCAATGCGATGCAATGTGTGATTGCTGACCCCTTTGGCATGTCCTTGAATACAATGGTGTCCCTTGACAACACCTTCCCCGTTAGCCGGCCCTCTTCGGCTTTCGTCACCGCAATGGCAGCCCAATCAATCACCACCATGCTCCTTGCTTCGCCCTTTCCTTTCGCTTTCCCTTTCCCTTTCCACTTCCCTTCCCAAACCAAGTAGAGCAGTTCACCGACATTGGCGAGAGTGGCACCACACAAGAACTTGGGCAGCTCCTGCTCCAACCCTTCCACCTTGCTCCAGCAATCGGTGTCCGGATCATAGCCCTTGACCTGCCCCAAGTAATCGTAGGAGTAGAGGATTCCACCGACCACAGCTGCACGGCCCTTCCACCCCATGTCAAGGATCGGAGAAACCGGCGCCCATGCCTCAGTAGGCGGCGCAGCCGGGTCGTAGGCCAAGCCGCCGCGATCGGCCACCGCGAGGACCTTCCCGGCGAGCGAGGCGGAGCCGTGCATCCACTTCTCCCGGAAGTGGGGCGGGCTGGGGACCGGAGACCACTTTGCATCCGGGGAGGAGAGGTTCAGGGACTCAGCCCAGAAGGGGGAGGAAGGAACACAACCGCCGGCGACGAATAGTACGCCGGAGTGGGCAACGGCGGCGGCGAACTCCCGCGGAGAGGAGAGGCGCGGGCCGACTGACCAGGATCTGGTGCGGGGGTCCAAGATCTGCACCGACGGGGACGGCACTCCGGAGACGGACCCGCCGAAGAGGAACACCCGGTTGCCGTCGACGGCGACCGAGGAGGAGGAGGAGACGGGGACGGGAGGGGACGGGAGAGGCAGCGGTGGCCATCCGGGATGCGGGAGGAGGAGGAAGAAGAGAGGCGAGGCGGAGGCCGGCGGGCGGAGGGAGAGGATGACGTGGGGGTCGGAGAGGCGGAGGCGGCGGCGCGCGGCCAGGAGGGGACCCGGGTCGCGGCACAGCAAGGTGTGGAAGGCGCGGGAGACGAGCGCGAGGGAGGGGTGCGCGGCGCGCGGCAGCAGGGCGACGCAGTGGATGGCCAGGTCGTCGGGGAGAGCCGGGATGAGGCTCCCGCGGATGAACTCCGGCGGCTCAGGCGACGAGGTGGGTGCGGAGGTGGACATGGCTCGCACTCGAAGGTCGTCGGCGCCGACGAGAGGTTGGCCGGTGGGAGACGGTATGTCGTACGGTGGGGGTGGGGCCACCGCGTCGGAAAGGAGAGGAAGGGTGGGCTGGGCCGATCTTTTGGCCCAATCAGCATATAACAATGGTGTCAGTTAAAATTTAGATTTTTTTTAACTTAATTTTAAAGTCGTTTTAAAGTTTTTTCATCATAATTTTTCTTACAATAGTGTCATTTAAGTTGCTAATAACGTAAATATAAAATTTTTAATTATAATTTTTGTTTTTGCTAATATTGCCATTCGATTAGACTGCTAGTCATAACCATGGGCCTGTATGTGCAATAGCCGAATTAAAACATGTGCCTTTTAAGTTTACTACTAATTTTCATTTGCCTGAAAATTATAATATCGCAGTTACCTAAAATTTCTAACTTTAGATCCGCAGTTATTCATTACTGAGTTTAAAATTTCAGTGTACTTTATCTGCATAAAATGTGCAGATTGAATAATAGTTTGAATTTTCGATCTTCACAAGTTATAACAAAAATAACAAATTTAATCATAACTATGTTTGCTCAGAGTCATTTTTTTATCACAACTTGTGTAAGCTGAATTTAAACTTGCATGTTTGTGATATATCATATATTAATCTATTACTTTTTAATATAAAAAAAACTGTTTCAATGACATGCCACAAATAATGAGATATTCGCTCAAGGGATTAAAAGAGTTTCCCATATTATGTGTTTCATTCAGTTTGCCAGTGGCACACTGTTGCTATGCAAACAACATATACACACTACTTAGCAACAACATATAATGGAATTTCTCGCATGTTTTAGCACTTTAAAAACTATGGATTCACATGCATGGATGCTGATGATGGATCTTCATCTTCAGCTCCTCTCAAAATATTGCTCAAGCTCTTTGTCATTTGCTTCTGTTGTTAACCGTGCACCGTGCGCATACATCAAATTTAAATCACCACAAGATACCTCAGTATTAGTTGTCTGAAATAACCGAGAGGGGACCTCGGAGATCAGGTGAGGTCTGCACCAAAAATCTAAACCTCAAACCGCAACCACCACAGGGCTCCTCTCGAGATAAGCCTTATCCCGCAATGGCGCGACCACAGCTACCCACGTCGGACGCCGCCGCCGACGTGGCGCGCCGGGCGCGGCCACCCTCCACCACCCATCCTACTTTTAACCTTCTCGTCGCGCCAACGCCAACCAAAATCCCCCACACACTTGCACCTCGTCTCGCTCTCGCGCCAAGAAAGCACCGCGAGTTCTTCTTCTTCATCCTCCATGGCCACAACCGCGTCGCTGTCCGCCGTCGCGGCGCGGCCACTGTCCGTGGCCTGGCTCAAGAAGCCCCTGTGCGCCTCGTTCCAGCCCGTGCCGAGGGCGAGGCCGGCGGCGGCGGCGAGGATGGCCGTGAGGGCGTCGGCGTCGATGAAGGAGAGGGCGACGGCCGGGCTGACGGCCGCGGCCATGGCGGCGGCGATGGTCCTCCCCGACGTCGCGGAGGCCGCGCAGGGCAGCCTGACGCCGTCGCTCAAGAACTTCCTCCTCAGCATCGTGTCCGGCGGGGTCGTGCTCGTCGCCATCGTCGGCGCCGTCGTCGCCGTCTCCAACTTCGACCCCGTCAAGCGGACCTGATCTTCTCCTTCTCCTTCATTCACAGACACGCCTCGATCGCTGTCTTGTATCGAGATCATCGTCTCTTTGCAGTGTTGTTTTGGAGATTCTGTAAACTGATTTACGATATGGAGATATGGAGTTGTTGATGGTTAATTGCTTCCATAATTCTATTGCTGTATATTGTTCTTGACACTATACCTGCGCAAAAGGCTACTAGTATCCAAATATTGTTTGCTCCCGAAGCTACTGATCAGTGCTTCTGTATTTTTTTTAACTGCTGTAAATATGAACTACACTAGATAAAAAAGCCACTGAAATTCAATCTCAGGACAGCAGCTCGGAAAAATTCTAAGTGAACGTAACACAAAATTTCGTTACATTCCGACAATTTCATCTGTGATCATTACTGACATAGTGAGATCTTCTGTTGCTGCAGCTGAACTTTCAGCAATTAGCAGTAGCAATATCTACAGTTTCAACAGCTAGAGAAAATTATCCGAGCATGTAAAAATTCTCTCACAAAGCATAGGAGTAAGTTTCAGAAAGCATATGATTCTGGGATTCTGGGCCCACGAAAGCCCACACGATAACATGCGGCCCAACCAACTTAGGCCATATGAATACACCACACGAGTATACGACGTCAGACACGACCAAACCCCTCGTCTCGTCTCGTCGCCTCGCCTCGCGAGTTCGCCCGCCGCCTGCGCCGAGCAGCCGCCGATCTCCGCCACGCGAGCAGCGGCGCCGGCGTCCTGCTACTTCCGCCGCGTCCTCGCCGGTGAGCAACCAGTACGAACACCCTCTCTCTCTCATCCCGCACCTTCTCTCTTCGCCTCGACCTTTAGCTTCTCTTCTAGATCTGGAACCTTATCTCTTTGCCCTAAAATTTGTGGTCCAGTTTGGGGTTCAGTTCAACCCCCCATGCCCGCCTAACCGCCTTCCTTTTCCGCACTTAAAACCTGAAACAGTGAACTTTTTGTGCGGGGAATTTTAGTGTGAAGTTTCAATTTGGTGTTACCTGTTTTGGTTGAATGCATCAGTTCTGTAAAAGTGTGAGTTCTAATAGTATAATTGCTCTATTTGATGATGTGGATTGCAGAAGGAAGGATGAGTAGGCGCTGGAGCAGGACAATTTATGTCGGGAACCTCCCGGGCGACATCAGGGAGAGGGAGGTAGAGGATCTGTTCTACAAGGTTGGTAGTTTTGTTAATCTCTTCGATTAAGCTCCCCAGGAAGGAAACGATTTTGTGCCTTGAATTGTTAACTAGTTAGTACCTTATTGACACTCTTCTAACATCTAGGTGTTGCCGTGTTGGCATTTGCGGTTGTAACATTCACATTAAATAATTGGACTTCTGTCTTCCACTCGCCTCATTAGTTTTGGATTTTGCACTAATTTGTGTAAGGGTCTAACACTGCAGTTTTTTTTCCTGCAGTATGGACGCATTGTTGATATTGACTTGAAGATCCCCCCAAGGCCGCCTGGTTTTGCTTTTGTTGAGGTAAGTTGCGCAGCACTGTTAGGTTCTTTTAAGTTTGAATGTATTTATTGGAACTATTGGATTTCTTGATGGTTATAACAAGTAATATGACCTCCTTATGTTAATTGATAACTGTATGCTTCTAGCAGCTACTTGTCTACTTTTGGATTTTATTGAATATCCTGACTGTCTATATTTGTTGCCTTGCCATGAAGTTCGAAGATCCCCGTGATGCTGAAGATGCAATCCGTGGACGGGATGGCTATAATTTTGATGGGAACCGTTTGAGGGTAGGTGCTATGAGATGTTGGTAATTTGCTCTTCTGTGTTCACATATCTGATGCTCCAATATGCACAGGTGGAACTTGCACATGGTGGGAGAGGTAACTCTTCCTCCTTTAACAATTCTGGTGGAGGGGGACGTCGTGGGGGTGTATCTAGGCATACAGAGTATCGCGGTATGATACTGAATGCTGATTTCAGATCCATTTATAAATGCTCGGTTTTCTGTTTATATATACTAATCTGAAATCATTTGTGTACATCTTGACAGTTCTGGTTACTGGACTACCTTCTTCAGCATCATGGCAAGACCTAAAGGTCTGCTAAAGACAATTTGTTCTATCCACTTTTCTGCTGCTTTGCTTTTGTCTTTCATGATTTCCCTCATTCTCTTTGAAGCTAAACCTTGCCTATGAATGTTGTGTCAGGACCATATGCGAAATGCTGGTGATGTTTGTTACTCTGAAGTGTACCGTGAGGGTGGTGGTAAGTCTGTTTGGTCCCTACAGTAGTTCTTTGCTTACTGTAACAATGGTGTTTGCCATAGCTCTTCATAAGTTCTCTATGGATTGGATGACCAATTGGATATACCACCCTGTCAAACCAGTTGATTTTTAAGATATAAATGAACTTTTTTATTACGTCAGATTGCAATTCTTGAAACGAATTGATGTCGTGTGATGAGTTACTCATAAGTTGATGAATGCCTAAGTATTGACAATTGGTCCTACCATTTCCATTGTCTTAAAAAATGACATTTGGTCCTCTAGTTTGTGCGTCTAATTTTGCAACATTCATTCCATGTTATACCCCAGCAAGAAAATGCAGAGTCAACCAAAGATAATACTATATTTTAGGCATTTAGTTTATAGGTAGTAGATACTATAATCTATTCAGCTGGACACCATTATTATCAGTTTTCAGCAATTTGATTAAGCAAAAAAAAATAGTGAATGCTATTATTGCTGTGACCATAGTTGATACACACTTTTGTTTGCTACAGGTACTATAGGAATTGTAGACTACACAAACTATGATGACATGAAGTATGCTGTAAGTATTCTCTTTCTTCTCTATTTTTGGTGTCTTATGGTGCCTTGTAGCTACATTTCATATTTCACTACACTTGTATAATCTTGTTAGATATGTGATTTTGGAGCACTGTCTTTCAGTTTCAGTACTGTAGTCTGCATCATATTCCTTCCTTTGTGTTTATTTTTTTTACTGCTTATCTCTTGCAGATCAGGAAACTTGATGATTCTGAATTTAAGAATGCCTTCTCAAAGGCCTATATAAGGGTACACACATGTTTATTTCTACTTTACTTTTTTGGATCAACTTGTCCCAAAAGTAACCAATAATACAACTCACTAATATTTAGGTGAAGGAGTATGATGGAAAGCGCAGCCGTTCATACTCACGAAGCCGAAGCCGAAGTCGAGGTCGCAGCTACAGCAGAAGCAGGAGTCCAAGGTCTGGTGGTGATTACATTCTAATGTACCTCAATAATACCATTGGCCACTGACCAGAGTTTAATATGCCCCGCAGCAAGTCTCCCAAGGGAAAGTCATCACGCCGTTCAGCATCTAGATCTCGATCGAGATCAGCTTCTTCCCGTTCAAGATCAGAGTCAAAGGGGCGCTCTCCATCAAGGTAACATTGATGAATCACTCTTGGACATTGAATCCTTGGTCTTCATGTTGTGAATTATATATAGAAAATATTGCCTGCTACCCGAAAGATAACATGTATATAGATTTTATGGTGGTATTTTTGCCATCAAATATTTTTTGATTAGTTGGCCTTGAACTGTCTGAACAATTTATTAGTTCTGCAATCTTTCTGTGTTAAAGATGGGTCATCCCAATTCTCATTTGCTATCCCATATTCTCAACCAACTGTTACACCTCTTTGGCTTTATGAATCAAATTTAATCAACCTTACTGATTGTCCTAGTGTAACTTTATGTGGGAAACTGTTGGTATATTTGTTACAAAGTTTATCTGGTGTGACATATTTCGTACCTAACTCAACTGGATAGTATCCAATATTTGAAAGCCTCAATGATTTGTTCATTAGATGAGGATTTGTGCGGAGATCTAGGGATTGCATAATGGGAAATCGAGGTTGGGATTTCTTCTATATGCAACAGTTCTATTGGTTGTCTGAGGTATGGTAATAAACTGGGTGCTGCTCTGGTAGCTAAAAATCATCCATATTTGTTGACCTGATGTACTGTGACTTATTACATCAGAATCAGAGCCTGGGCCTAAGAATTGCTTTGGGACACTGGAGCTAGAGCATTAAGGATTGATGCTATGGATTATGGTGGCGCAATGACTGTGTTTGCTTGGATTGAGTAAATGAGGAATGAGTTTCTCGCTTGCTCTCTCGTTGGGATCACTTTGGAGGAATGTTCTAGCGAATATGTCACGTAACATTTGACACTAAACACTCTGAATGTTTTGAACTTAAGGAATTTGTTCTCTTCTAATTTCTATGAGCTCTTTTTGCTTGCATCTGGCCATTCCAATGATTGGGAGGCGTGAAGGCTTTTTGGAAGCAAACTGTTAAAGCTGCATTCTGGAATCTGGATATTGAATCGTGTTATTTCTGGAACTTTTTGCAGATCACCAGCAAGATCTCAGTCTCCAAATACTTCTGTAAGTTTTTGCTAACGTACTTTGTGTGATTTGTTTTTGTGACTGACCTGACCTATTTCTGGTTAGCCTGCCAATGGTGATGCAGCAAGCCCCAAGAAACGCAGCCCAAGCAGGAGCCCCCCCAAGAAACGTAGCCCAAGCAGGAGCCCATCACGTTCCCGATCTCCTGATGTATATAGCTCTTTATACCATTACATGCTTGCTTTTATGGAAATCTAAACTAATCCCGTTCGCATTTTCAGGCCAAGTCCGAATGATGCTGATGTGCTTCTGGGGACGGAGTGTCGAGGAATCATGGTCCTGAAACGTTTTGACATCTGTCGCCCTCGACTACTTCTGAATCGCTTCCAAAGTACTATTTCATACGTTCAGTGCTCTTTCAGATTACTGGATGATACTGTACGCCTATTTATAGATTTGAACTTGGGATTTGTCTTTTGTTCATTTTGACACTGTACTTGACTTAGGTATATTATTGTGGTACTGGTAAGAAAGTTGAACAGAGTCATTCCGTCGTTTGTTTGCTTAATGCACTTCCTAGCTCAAGTTGCAGGTAATAAATACATTTATATCCACTGGATCATGCCACTCACGTGATAATTTTGTCGTCAGTTACAAAAGATCGGAGGCTTTTGTTTGATATTTTTACTTCTTTTAGCTCAGAAGGATTGGGAGAAACACTCTTCTCTGCGCCTAGTAGGTTGGGAGGTCATGGCTGCGTAATACTCTGGCAGCTACCAAAATGTGTATTATCAGCGAAAAACACGAACGTCTTCCTCTGTAAGATATAACAAGGCTGCAAGCATAGGCTGATGCACAAACATTTCGATACATAAACTGATAAAACCTATGAAACTAACACATACAAATCATCCCATGTACAGAACGCAAGAAGCTGCTGCTACCCAAGCGAACCACACACACATTGCTCGGCTCAGCTCACACCCGAAATTTGGTGTTTTTCACGCGGTCTCGGCACGAGAGCGCTTGGCCTTGGGTTGCTTGACGATCATGACGGAGCAGTGCGCGTGGTGGGCGCAGTAGTCGCTGACGCTCCCCAGGAAGGCCCTCTTGATTGCGCCGTAGCCATGGCTGCCGACGACGAGCAACCCCGCGCTGTGCTTCTCCACCGCGTTGCACAGCACGTACCTGGGCTCCCCTTCGATCACCTCGATCAACGCGTGCATCTGCAACCAAATGCATCAATAATGCCAATAATCAGGTGCCCGTTTAGCCACAGAAACCCTGTGCGGAAATCTGCAGAATCTGCGAGAGTGAGAGAGTTTGATCGATCGATTACCGCGTTGGCGATGCAGAGGCGGCGCGCCTTCTCGACGACATCCTCCGCCGTCTTGCGCAGGTCGGCCTCCACGTATCTCACCACCTCTCCAGACCCTGACGCCATCAACGAGTCAGCTCAGAATAAATTTCATCGAGATCAATTCAAGGAGGCGGGTGATGTACCGGGGCCGGCGCCGAAGCCGACGACGGAGGACGGCGAGGGCTTGGCGTGGACGATGACGAGCTCGGCGCCGCCGCTGCCCGCCATGCCGCTCGCCAGGTGCTGCATCGTCCACTCCAGCGCGTAGTTGCTGTGCTCGCTGTCGTCCACCCCGACCACCACCACCGTCTTCCCCTGCTCCCCCTCCGCCGCCGCCATCACAATTCACAGACGGATCAACAATTGCTCGATGGATGGATTGGTTAGATAGCTCTGACTCGAACTGTGACTCTTGTCTCGTTTGATGATGATCCGTGGGCTGCGAGCACCTGGGTATTTATGGGCGTTGCGAGCGTGAGAGGAGCACGAGGAGGGAGGCTGCAAGCTGCTGCATCTAGCCTGCAGGCGGGAGGGCGAAACCGCGGGTGGGGGTTTGCGGCTGGTGTGGCGGCCGAGCGCGACACACTCGTGAGTCGTGACGAGACGGCGCGTCCCCAGGTGCTCGGCTCGCGCGGACGCGGCCCTTGGTTTTGGGTTTAGTTGGAGCGGGTTTGTTTGTTGGTTTCGCTCGCTCGCATTTCGTTCTCAGATAAGCTGCGCGTGGGCGTGGCGCCGTGGATGACAGGATAAGGCCGAGAGGGACATAGCATGGCATATTGGCATGTACTAGCTGCGACCTGCGAGTGTCATGTGCCGTGGAGTACTAGTGGACTCCCTCACTCACTCAACCTGGACTCGTGAATCGCTGCTTTCTGCTAGTCACGAGAGATGTGTTGCGACCAGGGTTCACTTTCTCGCCGGTAACCGCGCGGTAACCGCGGTTACCGGGCTTACCGTGGGGGGTCGGTAACGAAAACCGGCGGTAGGGTTTGGGCAAATTTTGCTCAAATTCAAAAATTTGAAAAATAATCGAAAAAAATCAAAAAAAATCATGGATGTAAAGCTTGTTTTGTATGTTGTTATGGTGAAAAAATTTCATCAAAAAGATGCAGGTAAATTCAAATTTGAGCGCAAAACCTATTGTGAATTATAAAAAAGAAAAAAGATTAAATGGAATGGGCCAAGTATGCACTGTTCACGAGGCCCAATAAGGCCCACAATGGGAGGAAAATATCTTTGGAAGCCTCTGCTTCGTTTCTCTGGCGAATCCTACCGTTTTTCCCCTCTCTCGCGTAGCTGCGCTCAGGACCGAAGGGGCGACGGCGTGCGCCCGCGCCAGATCCGCCGCCTCCACGCCGGCGAGGCCGGTTCCCTCGCGGTAAGCGGCGGTAACCGCGCGGTACGAGATGGTAACCGCCTGGGTCGACGGGCAAGAGGTAATCCCTCCGTTTTGAAGGTTTTCGCGCGGTTAGGAGCGGTAACCGTGCGGTTTTGTACGGTTACCGTCGGCTTCGTAATCTATGAGACGATATACGTATGTGCGGTAATCGTGTGAAAACCGTGGTAACCGTCCACCCTACCGTGGTTACCGTGGCTTGAACCGTGGTATGGTATTTTTTACTGTGATATGCATGGACATATTTGGGGATTTAGGTCAATAGAACATATTTTTACCAATATGCATGTGAAATACATTGGGAATATGAGTTTATTTCGGCATTTGGTTGCCCGTGCTTGGCTAAAACCATGCATGTGAAGTATATTTGATTGCTTTGGTCTATGTACATATAGGTTAAATTAAATACGTCATAGTATGGAAGAATTTGGATGCATGCTTACCAGTGTACATATAATTACGTCGTATTATTGTATAATGGGAGGTATGTTTATAATTAGCAGTGATAATTTCTCATGCATTTGATACAGGGTGGAGATGTCAGATAGTAGGGACCCTGTGTGGGAGCACGGGGAGAATATCCCACCTGGATGGCGTTGTAAGTATTGCCATACAAAGAGGGGCGGTGGTGGGGCAACAAGACTAAAGCAACACTTGGCTGCAAGAGGGAAGGGGGTTACATATTGCAATTCAGTGCCTCCGGATGTCCGTGAGTTCTTCTGCCGTGAGTTGGACAGGATAAAAGATGCAGGTGACCAGCGTAAGAGTGATAGCGGAAGAAGGGTTGAAGCAGTAAGGGTCAACTATTATGACCTAACAGGTGATGCCGACGAGGAGGAACAAATGGAAGCAGCCATTGCAGCCTCACGACAAGACGAAAACTTTAGGAGGGATGTTGAGGAGCGTGGTGGCACTTATGAGCATGGCGGTGGGAGTGGATCCGCTCAGCCGGAGGCACGGAAAGGTAGAAGTAACCCAATTACCAATATGCTACGAAGGGCTACGTCTCATAGGGAGTCACCTGCTGTGAGAGATTACAACCTAGCATCTGCCAAGGCCCCTGTGCAGCCACGCATTGACATAGGATTCTTCACAAAGAAGGGGAAGCAAGCTAGGCAAGCCATTGGTGAGTCATGGGCAAGGTTCTTCTTTACCGCCGGCATTCCTGGTAGAAACGCCGATAATCCATACTTTGTGAGCGCCGTTCGGGAGACACAAAAGTGGGGTACATATGCATCTATTAAGGAACTTCTTTTTTTCTAACTCATTGCGCACTACTTATTTCATACGTCAATTGTAGGTGAAAGTGTACCTTCTCCAACTGGTAACGAGATAGATGGAAAATATCTTGATTCTAAAGAGAAGGATGTGAAGAAGCAATTTGATAGGTTCAAGAAGGATTGGGATGAGTACGGTGTTACTATAATGTGTGATTCTTGGACAGGTCCGACGAGTATGTCGGTCATCAATTTTCTGATATACTACAATGGAATAATGTTTTTCCACAAGTCCATTGATGCGACCGGGCAAAGCCAGGATGCTAACTTTGTGCTGAAGGTATGTATGGTTCATGCAACAAATTACTTCATCACCTGTTATCGTCAGTGTTAGGGGCATGGACTAATTTTTATTATGTTATCTACCAATGCAGGAGATAAGGAAGGTGGTACGCGAAATAGGCTCGGAGCATGTTGTTCAAATTATCACTGACAATGGCTCTAACTACAAGAAGGCGTGCAGACTACTACGGCAAGAATACAAGACAATTGTGTGGCAACCTTGTGTGGCACACACAGTTAACTTGATGCTTAAGGAGGTTGGGAAAATGCCAGACCACGAAATGGTGATTGAGAGTGCTAGGAAAATTTGCAGATGGCTATACAATCATAACAAGTTGCATGCTATGATGGTCTTAGCTATAGGTGGTGAACTGGTTAAGTGGAATGCTACAAGGTTCGGAACAAACTACATGTTTCTCCAGAGTTTCCTTAGGAAGCGAGATCTTTTCATGCAATGGATGGCTTCCTCTGTCTTCATGCAAAGCAAATTTAGTGGGACTTTGGAAGGTAGATATGCACATGCATGTCTATCTAGTCTGTCTTGGTGGGAGAACTTAGAGGCAGTAGTGAATTTTGTCCAACCTATGTACTCATTCCTTCGGTTTGCTGACGAGGACAAGAACCCCAATTTGAGTGAGGTACTTTTGAGATATCAGTTGCTCAAAATGGAGTACGACAGTCTTTTTGCGAATCAAAGGGACAAGTTTGAAGCATACATGGAAATCGTGAACAGAAGGATGCACGACCTAACCAACGAGACTCTCATCAATGCCGGTAAATATTGGTCATAACATAATCCACATGGCATATTATGTAACTCTTACTTAACCTGTGCCATGTTTTGTAGCTGCCGCATTGAACCCTAGGACGCACTACGCGTATTCTCCAAGTGCTACTGTCTTCCAAGACCTCCGACAGGCATTCGAGTGGATGACGGATATCGATACGGCTGCCGCCGCTTTGCTGGAGGTTGAGATGTACCGACGTAAGACGGGTGAATTTGGGAGGGCACTAGCAAGAAGGATGGCCATAGATGGGAAAACTTCACCTGGTATGTTTCTAATCATGGAACTATGATATATCTAATTGATCTTGATGTATTCAGAATTATGAAATGACATGTTACTTGGCTTTTGTAGCACAATGGTGGTCTATGTTCGCCTCAGACACGCCGAATTTGAAGAAGCTTGCGTTGCGTTTGGTTGGTCAATGTTGCTCCTCCAGTGGATGTGAAAGGAATTGGAGCACATTCGCATTCGTACATACGAAGGTCCGTAATAGACTTACCCACAAGAAGCTCAACAAGCTAGTGTACGTGAACTACAACCTTCGCCTTCGAATTCAGCAAGCAAATGCCCAAATTAGGGTGGAGGACGATGATCCCCTTCAAAGATTAGCGGACCTCTCATTCTATGAAACTAACAATCATATCAGTGCCTGGATGGACAATGCTCGCTCTAATGCTTGCCCCGAACTAGATGAAGATTCAGCTGAGAGTGACGCTCCCCTGCCTAGTCAACTTGTGTCTGACCTAGTCAACTTGGATGACCTGCGAAGGACCACGGGAGCTTCTAGTATTGCTGAGTGGGCTGATACGAATGTAGGTGACACTCATATTGGGAAAAGGAAGACTCGAAAGCCGCCAAAAGCACGTCCATCTAAAAAGGTAAAGGGCAAGGGTCCACGATCGACTAGTGTTGATAGCGATGAAGAGACCCAAGAAAGCCCAGAGTACCAAGAGTCCAATGATAGTAGCTCAAGAACTGAAACAGATGACGGCGACGACGATGGTCAAGGAGGCCAAGGCACTACTAATGTGCCTCCTAGGGGTCACACCCAACAATCAGATCACCACAGCCCCGTTCAATTCACTGGTGTGATATAATTCAGTTGCAATTTCAACCTTCATCTTCCAATTCAGTACTGGATAATTTTCTTGCAATTTTTTGATTTGCAGGTGAGGGCGACTTCACTCATGCTACTCAGGACCAGGATCATGGTGCTCCAAGCTCTCAACGAACTACCATTGCACCGGGAGTCCGACAACAGCAACAATTCAGTGACATACAACAGGATAGCTCTAGCTCATTCAGTGCCTCTAGCTTTGAAAGTGGCTATCCAACGTATGTGTACAACCGTCCCCAAGCTTCTGATTATCCTGCTACTACATGGGTGTATGAATGGCAAGAGCCTCAGTGGTATGCTCAATTGTACGCTCAGTGGCAAACAACATCATCATGGACAGGTCAAAGTTGGAAGGAATACAAGGCGGGGTTGCTACATTCACATGGCTTGATGCTCATGTCCACAGAGGAGTACAATATGGCATATAATCAGTGGAATGCGTAGCTATGCATGTCCTTGTTTATTTCCTTTCATTCGAACTAGAATTGTAATCATGGACATTATACTGTGGACTCTACAATATAGAGTAGGTCATGCCGAATTTTTCTGTTGTATAACCACATCTTAATTAACTAAAATACTCACATTTTAGTTTTTTTCTATTATTTTTTTCATTTTTCTTATTTCAGTTCCAACATAAACTAAAATACTCACATTTTAGTTTTTTTCTATTATTTTTTTCATTTTTTTTATTTCAGTTCCAACATATCGCGGTTACCGTCCTCTTACCGCGGTTACCGTACTAAACCGTGCGGTTACCGTGTCCATACCGTGGATTTTGAATTCAAAAATTTGGAAACGAAATTTGTGCGGTTTTTCGCGGTAACCGCACGGTTACCGCGGTAACCACCATACCGCGGGGGGTCGGTAACCCCCCCCAAAACGGTAAGGTGAACCCTGGTTGCGACAGGTATCTGGAGCTGGGCATTTAGTTCTTTTGTAACTTTTAACTTTTTCATTATATCAAAACTTTCCTACACATAAAATTATAACTTTTTCGTCACATCGTTTCAATTTCAATCAAACTTCTAATTTTAGCGAACTAAACACAGAGATACCGCTGGTTTTGTGGCTGCAATCCAGGAATTTCCTGAGTAGATAGCATGATTGTTTTATTTTCTTTTTGAGAAAATATCATGCTTGTTTTGATTCCGTGTTCTAAGATCTCGGAAAAAGATGACGTTCCAAACAAGATGGTTGTTTCGGTTATATATATCGCTCATTTTCAGAAAAAAAATGCTGGCAGCTGACTCAGAAAGAGGCGTTTTCTTTCCAGCTCCATTACATCCGTTATTGGCTTTTGGCGTGGATCTTAGATGAGAAAACCAGAAAATTAGAGAAGGGATAAAATTAAGGAGCAGAAAGTGTACCGCAAGGTATCCCTTACAACTCCATTCCAAAACATAATTTTATAATTTAAATTTCGTATCACAATTTTTTTTAGGAAACTATTTCTAATGTACAAAAGTCCAAACCATTTTCAATCAATCAAAAGCTTGAAAACAGATCATAAATAATTCAAAATTTAATAAATAATTTAACCGAACGGCAATATCTGTTTTCAACCTTAATCTCTATTAGACCTAAAGATGGCTATATTTTGGAACGAACAAAGTATCGTGCAAAGCCTCCAAAGAGTTGCCAATCAATTTAAATGATTTTTAGCATTTTGCACGGAGAATAAGAATTGTTTATTTAACGCCATTCTCTTTTTTTTTTCTAGTTTTATTTTCCATCCCCAATTGAGTGGACGGATTTACCCCTGCACACATACAGATCAGACGGAGAGGATCAATTCAGACGCCGCCGTAGAGAGGAGCCCAGCGCCGCCGCTTCCACGCCGAGCAGCCTCCGCCGTCCGCCGACGCCTTCGTGGCTTGGAAATCCTCCATGGCAGCCTCTGCCGTTGCCGCGGCCATCTTCCTCCGCCTCCGCCAAGTCCGCCGCATATGGCCGCCCTCGCATCTCGAGTCGCTCAGTCGCCCCGCCCCATCCTCATCCTCTCGGGCCGGAGGCCCCCCGCCGGCCGGCCACCGCCCGCCGCTACCACCGGCTGAGTGACTGACCGGGACTGATTTTAGGCATTTAGCCATTCGCCGACGACAGGTAATTCTTTAGCTCATTTTGTACTGTTTTTTTTTCCTCAGTATGGTTTTAACTTTGTGATTGAAATTGTCGCGATCAGTGATGTAGTTAATCCAAATAGAGAATCTATCCTGTGATTTGTGAATAACAATTTGTGAAACAGCATGTGTGGAAAATTATTGAATGATTGTTTAGTCTCATTTGTTAAGCTAGATTTTTATTTCTCCATAGTAGTGAGGAAGACAGTACTACAAACTTTCAAGGCTAAGAGAACACGCAAAGTAGCAGCACTGTAATCTTCTATTTATGTAAGATCGTTTACATTGGAACTATCTGTATTGTACTTTTTTTCTCGTGATTTTAGTCGATTAGCAATGCTGTGAGATATTGTCGCATATTTGCATTACACATTTAACAAAAGGGGAAATCTGTACATGTATATATATGTGGTTTGTGTTGTTATAAAAGTTTGGTGTGTGAAGTAGGCACACCCAACGAAAAATTCCAAGCTCTGCCACTACTCTCCAGCGACATGGTGGTATCTCCACTCCCTCCGTCAAATTCTGCCGTTGCCAGTGCGACGGCAGTACGACCTCATTGTATGCTCCTCCGCTTCGCTATCTCACTCCGCTGGTCTTCCTGCTTTATCAATAGAACTTCGAGGATGTCCATCTCAGGGATTTCTCTGAGTACATGGATTGCTCTGGAGTGCCACACAGCACCGGGACCAACTCTGACAATGGCTTCGACCTTGGCCGCATGCATCACCTCGGCCGCCTTTGTGAACTCCACACTCCCAGTGACTGAGACCTCACCCTCTCCTTAACACCAGAGGCTCACAACTTGCCTTGAAACTGCCTATTAAAATCATAAGGAAGGAAACATATATGATTTTTCTGGTGCATGGCACATTGACATTTGTTTCTTTCAAGTATTAGGCAGCTGCCATCTTGCATATGAGTCATGATTTTACTTTGAATGGAGAAAATGTGATTAATATTTGGACAAAACTGAATGAATGTGATTGTAGGCTATTCATATTGCTGGGACCAAGGGGAAATGTTCAACTGCTGCATTCCTGTCCAATATCATGAGGGAGCAAGGCTATAGTGTAGGATGCTATACTAGGTACTGCACTGCATTTCTGTGATTTTTAATCATTTTTTCTAGTTGGAAAACGTATTCAGAATTTTGTAACACAAAGGACACATATATGCTTCTTTTCACGAAAATATTGTTAAGTGTAGGGACTATAATCTATTAGCGTGTTGTTCTCTGTCATCCTGAGTTATGTTTCAAACATTTAATCACCGTATCTAGATTGTAGAATTACTGTTAAGTCTTTCAAGAAAATATTGTTAAGTGTGTTCTGTTGAATTCTGAGTATAATTATAATGCATGTATCAATATATGCTTGCAGCCCACATCTTCTAACAATTTGGGCCGATGTTAATGGGCCGAAATTGAGCTTCTTCTTCTTCTTTCCTCAACCTCTCACCCTTCAGTTCAGTTCAGATGGAAGCTTTGATTCTCATCAGCCCCCTTTTTTTCTTATACATTTACCCTTCTCTTTGCTCTCTAATCCAGGACGCAGCAGCCGGTGTTTAGCAACGTTCTCGCCTGGATTGGATTGGATCGGAGTTGGACAGGTAAGAAGTAGGCCATAGCCTCCACTGCAAAAGGGAAGAGAATCTGATTCTTCCGTCCAAGAACTAGTATCCATCTCCATGCTACTTTTGTCCAAATGTCCATCAATTCATCCCTGATTGCATCTGATCTACCACGACAGAAAAAGGTCAACGTCTATCTGGATACAGAGCTAGCTAACCAAGAGCCACATCGGTTCACCTAATAAGCTAAATCAAAAGCTAAAATTTGAATTTCTGAACTTGATTTGATTTTGGAGTTCATTTTAAGATATTTTTAGCATTATTTCTTTTTAGCGTTGGCTTTTAAGTCGGTACGAACAAATATATAAAAAATTTTCCTATAAATTATTTATTATTCCTTAATAAGCCGGGCTTATTAGGGAATATGGGTAACCGATGAGGCCCAATATTCCAGCTAGCTATTTGTAGTTTTGGAGCGTCCGAAATCTCAAAAAACTTTACTCAATATCACCATCAAAGATGGCATGCCACTAAACAGAGGCACCGCTAAGCAACCACTAACTAATGCATTATCGCTAGACAAGGTCTGTTGTCTCAACCTCTTTACTCGTTGACCTCAATCAAATCTGCGTGTTGTGTGCGGCAGAGGATCGAAGTGTATCAGGAATCCAAAACAAGAATCCGTTTTGAGGGATAAATAACCCGTGAATCCATGGGCCATGGCCGGGCCAAAATAGTACAGATTCAGAAACCGTACGGCTCCAGAACGTTCTTCTCTTTATCCTTTTCAATTAGCAAACTAGATTATGATGTTATTTGGGGGAGGCAGTGTTTTCCAGAGCAGCTAGTGTGAATCTAGGGAAGCCAGTTTTAAGGATTATATAACTATTACCAGAATCTGCTTGACAATTTGGACTATTTAGAGAGCTAGAAATTTTAAGACGTTACAACTGAAGCTTCTCCAAATAGACATATATATCGCAAAATATATCATATTGCGTAATAGATTATTACTACCTACTTTACGTAGATACAAAGTAATTTTGATATTTTCATCCCTGAATCATTTAAAAATGACCAAATGACAAAATACAATTGATGCAGTGGTCAGAACAGTACTGCAAGAGTAAGGTTCTTCGCTACGCTAAGCTTTCATAATTTCTTTGCATGGCCTTACCCTGCTTGGATTCACTGATTCACAGATAAAAGCAAGTGGCAGGCAAATGGTCGTGGAGAATATATATGCCACCAGCTTAGCAGCCGCTGCTTTACATCAAGCAAACAGCAGCCGCCAGTTTTGTGGGCAAGGTGACATCGATTTTATGGTTTGATTTGCGCATTAAGAAACCAACCACTGTTTGCTACACTGGAAGCTACACTGGAAGAAGCATTCTCTAACAATAAACATAGTTGTTTAGGCTGATAAATATATGCTACTAGCCTATTAAGGTATTGCTGTTAGAAACTGGATGTTGTCATGGTGTGTTCATGTGATCGAGCACGAGAAATCGGTGCCGGGTAAGAGTACGTTGCCGATAAGGACACGGTATGTATACTACTACCAGGTCATGAAGTCGATCCAGTTTCAAACTGCATGTTCATCCACATTTGACCATGTAGATTATGCCAAATTGAAAACTACTTATGCAATTAGCACAAGGATTCGTTAGCCTGTTCGACAACGGAGTGATTGCAAGTATGCAAACCGAATTCACGTCGTTTGAATAACAATATTCATATGGTAGGTACAGTAGTATTATCGTTCCATGTTTTAATTACATATCGTGACATCCTTTTCTCGTGGAAAAGTCTATTGAGAATTGAGACGACCCAAGATGAGGATGAAAAGGTGCCACATAAATTTGTCCTCCGTGATTGTATCCGGTACTGGAAAAAATCGATGAGATTGAGATCTACTTTGCTTTTGGAACAATTTAGTGGAGAATTGTTTAATTAAGCAGACGACTCAATATGCATAGCAGCTACTCTAGGCATGCTTACTTTCACTAATTCATCTTTTACCACGAAGGTTGTTGGTCTGTCTTTGTTGTTTGGAAAGTGGTAGCATTGTCAAAAGTGAGCAATTATGATCACTAAGAAAAAGAGGTTTGATTTCAGGTTAGGTGCTGCTCGTATTAAACTTTACAACTGAGATTCTAATTAGCAGTAGAAAACGTCAGTGCGCGAAGTTAAGTTGCACCAGAGTTTAAATTCTGTGCTTCCATGGGTTCTCATATTTACAACTAAGTATATTTTATTGATATATGGCATATCCATCGATAGCAAGACGTATGTAGATTTTGTCGATCTTTTAAGATATGACGACCAATGAGACACGTGTGCTAATGAACCATATGTTGACTTTGTCAATTTTGAGATATGCCAACTAGCAAGGCTCGTATGATGATTTCATCAATTTCAAGATACATCGTCCAATCTCTCGGACATATGGTTATTTCGTCAATATTGAGATATACCCGTCCAAATATGATATCATAAATACTATAAAACGATATACCGTTCGAACGAAATAACTAATGTCAACATAATACCTAGGTAATAGATCTGATATGGGGGTATTATGTTTGGTATTGGAATCCGGTACCTACTATACCATACGGACCTCAGCATGATACCCACGTACCAGATCTGATACTAGTAGGTATCATGTCTAACTGTACCATGATGATGTCAGTTATTTTATTGTAACAGTATATCGTTCTGTAGTCTACCTCCTATGATATATGTACATTTGCCTCCTATGATATATGTACATTTGCATTTGTGTGTGTATCAAATTTGGTAGAAAAGAAAGGAAAACTTTACTTGCATGCAATTGTCCAATTGACCAAAATAACTGTTATCTAATTTTACCTCTTAGGCGTAGACCGTTAAGCATGTATATCGCCCGCTTTACGGCTTTAGACGCTAGCTTATCTAGTACGCAGAATATCTGACGGACGCAGAGGATTGAGACCTGGAAGCTAGGCTAAACTAAACAGGTAGCGAAACGCAACCCTTTCCTTGACAGTTATCCGATTACGCGCCTTTCTATCAGGCACAGCAGCACGGGCAGCCACAAGATTCAACTAAAATTTAGTTAACTGCACGCCTCTTTTTCGTTTACGTCGCCGTCGCCCTATCCAAATTCGCCCACGTTTGATATAGATGCATAACTGCAAAGCGAGAATTCCATTTCTTCATGCGTCAATTGGTCCCTCTCGTCTTCTCCTAGGCCACACTATTCTTGACCATACCTATGAAATCACAAAACGTATACGACCTTATTTGGAACAAGTTTTTATCAATAAACCCTTTTTGATTTTATACACGACAGGAAACAATTATTCTAAAATTTTCTCTACTGTATTGCTAACCACTTATTTTAGCTAGAACTTTAAAAATTTTAATATATTCTCATAATTAAGTAGATAACACGTGACAATAATATAAATCAAACGATTTGACAAGTTTTCCGGAAGGAAAAAAGGCTGCAAAAGCCGATCTGGCTGAGTGCGGTTGTGTAACTGTAACTTTTTTCTTCTAATATATCGACGTACAATCGTTTTTGCGCGTTCACGAAAAAAAAGCTGCAACCTGCAAAATTCAAAGGTTTGCGTGGGAGCTTAGCTGAATTCCGCCGATCAAATTCTGTTTCCACAAAAATTGTCCGCTCCGACGGCGTCCGCGCACACGCGCACGCACGCTCCCCGCGCCACAAAACCGGGGGAAAACGAGAGAAAAACGCAACGAAACGCTCGCCCCGCACCGCACGGAACATCATCATCATCTCGCGCTCTCACGCGGACCCCGCCGTTGCGGCCGCCTCACGACGCGAGCGCGCCACATGGACATCCACCATGGCGCCACCCTTTCCCCTCTCCTCGCTTGTATATATTCGGCGCGATGCCGTCGCAGCCGGTGCCTTCGTTTCACCCTGCTCGGAAAAAAAATCCTAAAAGCTTAATTTCTTTCTTTGTTCTTATTACTGTCTCACGTGAGACGCCTGAGCTCAACTGAATTTCTGGCCCCCTCTTCATCTCCGTGAGCTTCGCTGCCCTTTTTCTTTGCCTTCTCTTGGTGGTTTAATTTCATCAGTTTTCCTCCATTTCCTTCTTTAGCCATTGTTCCGATTGCCGTCTCTTGTTGCATGTGCATTCCTTCTCTGAACCGTGCCCCCCCAATTCGTCCGCGAGCTATACAAATTTGGATTCGTTTTGTTCGTTTCCAGCTCACCCTGTAAATCGTTTCTCAAGTCATTCAGGCATACTCACATCGCACAAACATATATATACCCCAAGATTTTGAATCCATCAATTTGCAGACGCCATAGGCGTACAAGTTATCCATTCAAGCGCTCCAAAAATTTGCCAAGAAGTTTGCCTTAAATTTGGATTCATGAAGTTTGCCAAGAAGTACGAGAAGTACATGAAGGGGATGGATGAGGAGCTCCCGGGCGTGGGGCTGAAGCGGCTCAAGAAATTGCTCAAGAAATGCCGCTCTGACCTCCAATCCCACGAGAACGACGGCTCCTCCGCCGGCCGCTGCCCCGGCCATTGCTCTGGTGAATAAAGCTACTATACCTTTCAATTTCCTCCTATATGGTCTCTTTGATGCGTAGGACTATTCTTGATTCTCTTACACTGAAAATAATGCTGTTTTTTCAAAAGAAACCTGTTGGTTTCTTGTTTTCAATGAAAACGAGGATTAATGGGCGGGCTCATGCCTTTTGGTACTTTTTTTTTCTTTTGGTTAAAAAAGGACAAACCCTTGGCAAAATGGCATACCTAGAAAAGGATTAGAATTTAGGACTTGTTGCAACTTGCAAGAGGCAATTGTTTTTTTTTTCAGTTTTTTTAGTTTCATCGTGCTGAGAAGTGAGAAGAACTAGTTGATAATTCTGCGGGAACAGAGGAACCTGTAGGCTGTACACAGCGGTTTTGGTATTCGGCAAGTTGAACTCTTCCTGGGAATGCCAACCTATTTTCTCTTATTTATCCTTTAGATATATGTATCCTACCTTGTTCTCGCTGTACTTCTTTTATTTATAGTGTCAAACAATTACAGCTTCGCATGGAAGAGAAGCTTTACTGCAGAGAAAGCAACAATTTGACTTCTTAGCACAATTCTTTCGAAGCATTTTCTCTGTCGCCCCTTGTATGGTTAAGATTGGATTTTAAAATGGCGATAATGTTTTGTTTGCTTTCAAACATCAATACCAACAAATTAAGTTGATCGGTCGGGTATTTGGAAAATCTGCATATACTACTGTCGTGTGGACGGCAGATTTATAACATAACTTCAAATTGAACACTACTAGAGATAGCCCATTGACTGCCCCATTATAATAGTGCAAGTCATTGTCAAGGTGGTAATTGTTTGTCAATGACAACCACGTAATTTTTCAAGTGCCAAGATACTATAGGCCGTAGTAACCATGGAAAAGGGGATGTCAACCATCACAAAGTCCACTCTTAATTTTGTATTCATTAGCAGGGGCTTATTCATCTGTCCTTTTGAATAACTTTCGATTATTTTAGTTAGTGTCGACTTGTCTACTATAATTTGGGATGGTTTTGATATAAATATTTCAGAGTCCTAAAAGAGTCGATTATTCCTGGTTCTTTCATATTGATATTGTAACTACTGCGGTTTGCCTAGAAAAGAATATTAGAGTCGCCATGATGGTTATTTTTGTCTACCTTACCTTTCATGGTTGGTTATCTGACAAATTCCTATCAACATGCAGTATGTGATGGGAGTTTTTTCCCATCTCTTCTCAATGAGATGTCAGCCGTTATTGGCTGCTTCAATGAAAAGGCCAAGAAGCTTCTCGAGTTGCACCTGGCATCAGGTTTCAAGAAATATACAATGTGGTTCACCAGCAAGGGTCACAAGAGCCATGGGGCATTGATACAGCAAGGCAAAGACTTGGTTACTTATGCAATTATAAATGCCGTGGCCATGAGGAAAATTTTAAAGAAATATGACAAGGCATGGCCTTAAACTTTAATCTTTGCACCTCTCTTTATCTCTTAAAGGCATTAGAAACATTTAAAGCTTACTAAGGACAAAGGGGGAATATTTTTTTTTGGAAACCGAACGAAGGGGGAAGATAACTATATAAGTATTCCATTATTTGAGAGAGGAACACAAAAATTTCACACACTTTTAGTTATAAGCATGTGAGTTTGGTGAAGCCCAAAATGCTAGTCTATATAGGTGTCAATGGGTCATATACTCATATGGTATCTTCGAGGATATATATACACACACACACAGAGGATGATTGAGTTGTATTTATATATTTAATCTTTCTAGTGACTATTTTTGTTAGAATTAACGTATCTATCATTGTTCTTGTCTTTGGATTTAAGACGGTCCTCAATGGTTATATTAATAATTATGTAAGACTATTAACTAAAAGCCTCTCTTTTCCAGATACATTACTCGAAGCAAGGGCAGGAATTCAAAGCTCAAGCCCAGAGTCTGCATATTGAAATACTTCAATCCCCATGGCTCTGTGAGCTGATGGCTTTCTACATGAACTTGAGAAGAAGCAAGAAGAACAACGGTGCTATGGAGCTCTTTGGGGATTGTTCTCTCGTATTCGATGATGACAAACCAACAATTTCATGCAACCTCTTTGACTCTATGCGTGTCGACATTAGCTTGACATGTTCGATTTGCTTGGTGAGTTTGCACTTGTCGACTGCACCAAGATCTTAATTTACCTAACAAGGATATCATTAATACACTAAATTTTTTATGTTATGAAGTATGAATTCGTACTTAGGTTATATTCTCCTTGTTATAATGTGCTCAAGTATCAACTTTGTTCCTTGTTACTGCGAAATTCATAGCACTTCCTTATTGCATTGTAAATTTCTGAAATTCACTTGCTTTTGCAGGATACCGTGTTTGATCCAGTTGCTCTTTCCTGTGGTCACATATATTGCTACTTGTGCAGCTGTTCTGCTGCATCCGTTACGATCGTTGATGGGCTGAAGTCTGCCGAGCGCAAATCAAAGTGCCCACTGTGCCGACAGGTATAAACAATTCCTTCAATTCGATCTTTGTTTTAGATAACATTCCTTCAAATTTGATGACCATATGCTTGTGCATGTCCCATCAACTGACCTGATTTCTCATTTCAGGCAGGAGTCTTTCCTAATGCTGTACACTTGGATGAGCTGAACATGCTACTAAGCTATAGGTAAGTCTGAACTGCTCAGGATCATATCATCAGTCATCTGCACGGCCGTACAAATGTACACTTTTTTTTATGTCATGAACATAGATTATCACCATATTTCGTTTATCGCAAAAGGACAAGGATTGTTACCAAGTTGAAATTTAATATGGATCATCTATTGACAGTTGTCCAGAGTACTGGGAGAAGAGAATACAGATGGAGCGGGTTGAACGTGTTCGTCTGGCTAAGGAACACTGGGAGTCACAGTGCAGGGCATTCTTGGGCATGTGATTCTAAAGTTGGTGGATTTTTTTTTTCTTTAGAGGGGCTTCATATGTGATGTATAGTTTCTTGACAAAATGGAATTTGCCATTTGTTGTCACTTATATCCTGCTCTGTTGCTCCTCTTTGTGTAAGAAGTTGGATTTGTCATCCTAAATGCAAAAACAGCAGGGGTTGTTCACTACTGTGCACTTAGATGTAAATAGGGTAGATTTGTAGTCATTGTTCAAGTGCATAACTGTAAATTCATTTATATTTGATCAGTTCAATCTGGGGGTTTGACTTTGTGGTTAATGTTTTGGGTCCCTGTTGCTGTCATCCCCTTCAACGTGTGCGTGGCCTTCATGTTGTGTTAAATCTAGATCATTTTCTGCAGTGATTAAGTCGATGCACGTATATTATTTCATTTCCTGTGGCGCTGAACAATGTGGCTTCTAAAACTCTCCAGGAATAACAAAACCCATCGTATAGCTAAATGTGGATAATGTCATTCGGCGTATTAACAAAATAATAATAATTTATAGGTAAAATTTTTATATAAACGTTCTTAGCTACTTAAATATTACTGTTGAAAAATAAACTTCAATAAAAAATTTTAAAATCAACTTTAAAATTAAGTTTGAAAATTTAAATTTTGGTATCAACTGATGTTTTATGGAGTCTTTCTTTTACTGTAATGTTCAGACCGCTTGTTGTATGTGGGGCTTAATATATTTAATGTATCCCTATAGTTAAGTGATAATCCGTAAAATAATCCAAAGAACAATCTAACTTAAATGGGCCCTTGAATCTTCGGCAAAATGCCAAAGAATGTTTAAGCAATAAAGGGCAGTTCTTCAATCAGCTCTTAATATGTGATCTCCTTTGTTGTTGGCCTCCTAAGTATTGATTTAGACAACATCAAACCAAATGTACTAGGTACATGTTAACTCCATTTTTAAATGTATAAACCAATAGTCCCAGGCTCCCAGCAAAAATAAAAAAAAATGACCAAGAAAGATCTAGTTTCATGTTACCATGTTAAGGCTCTCCATTCGAGATTGAATTTAGAGTGCAAAGTATTGTAGGTCTGTTCGGGGAAGCATTTGTTTGGGAGAGTTTAAGATTATAAGAAGTAACTGGTTGATAGTCAACTTACGAGAATCTGCAAACGCTCAACTTTTAGCTTTTGGTTTCTAGTTCATTTTCTGAATTATACAACTACAGATTCTTAGAAACTGGACCAAAGGCTAGAATGTTTGAGGAGATTCTGATTCCGAGAGAAGCTGCTGCAGTTAGAAGCTCTCCCAAACAGGTCTGTAACAGCCCCCCTCTGGAACCGTGCAACCAATCCATTCGACGGGCGGACTCACTAACATGCATCACTCCATTTACACTTTTTACACTTTTATCATCGTTTTGTGTAAAAGGTTTAACCCATGAACCCCACAATATTTTTTGCGTGAAAATGGGTTCCACATATTTTTTTTAATTCTAATACCACGTAAGCGCCACGTCGACATCACGTGGAACAAAGACCAGGTTAACACCGCCACGTCAGCAAATAGCTTTCCAAAACCATCGAGGGAGTTAAATTGCACCGGTTTTAATACTTGGGGAGTTAAACATATCAGGTATTGTGGTTGAAGGAGATGAAATTATGAATCAAATTCGCACACTAGCTAAGGGAGACAATGTGAACTTAGCCCACCTCACATAGCGGTACTACCTGCAAAGCCCAAGACATCATTGGTGAGGCCCATATAGCTCTCATGGGCTAACACTCAGGAGGCCCAAGAGAGCTTATAAATCCCGAAGCGAGGCCTCTTTTTTCCTCCTTTCCTCCTCCCCCACCCAAAGCTCGAGCTCCCGCTAGGGTTTCGCCGCCGCCATGGTAAGTCCCCCTCGCCTTCTCCCCGCCGCCGCCTCCAACCTGACCTCACTGCGTGCCCAGTTCCTCCCGGGATTCACCGCTGATCATCTCAGCACCCGCGAGTCTTTCCGTTTCCTCGTCGTTCTCGCTTTTTTTTTTTTTATTTTTTTTGAGTTTTCTCCTGGACGAGTTGGCTGCAGCCGCAGGGAGATCACATAGAGCTTCACCAGAAGCGCCATGGCCGGCGCCTGGACTACGAGGAGCGCAAGCGCAAGCGGGCGGCGCGCGAGGTGCACAAGCGATCCAGGGATGCCCGGCAGGTGAGAGACTGTTTATATTCCCCCCCCCCCTCTTCTGTTCAATTTTTTTTGGTGCGTTTCTGTTGCTGATGCGCGCGCGTTTGTTCTGTGGCAGTTGCTTGGTGCTAAGGGTAAGAGGTTCGCCAAGAAGCGGTATGCCGAGAAGGCACAGATGAAGAAGACGTAAGTACTTGTCGAATGTTTCTGTCAGATTGCATGTTTGATGCTCCATTTGATATATTGATATTTCTGTTGAGTGTTGATTTCTTGTTGTATTGGTAGGGGATGTGAGCTCAGGAATGCTTGCTGCCATTATTTATAGTTTATACTAGATTGATGCATTTTGAATAGATGATATGATTTGATGTTTGTTTACTGCTTTGTTTTGCATAGCGATATTTTGATTGTGAGATGTGAGCATTATAATTCGCAAGTGTAAAATTTGCTTGTTTGGTTGCATTTCTGTAAAGTTCATTCACGGATGTACACTTGCAGCCTGAAAATGCACGACGAGTCAACTTCTCGGCAGAAGGTTGATGATGTTCAAGAGGGTGCTCTTCCTCCATATCTGCTGGACCGTGATCAGACACAACGTGCCAAGGTAAGTACTCATATTTTGGGTTGCTAAAATGCTATCTTTCTATAATCTAGATGTGATACACAAGTCAACTTTTCACTGTTTTGATCATTCATATGCTGTGAAACATAGGTTCTCAGCAACACAATTAAGCAAAAGAGGATGGAAAAGGCTGGCAAATGGGAGGTTCCTTTGCCAAAGGTGATTTTCAACACAAACTGTTTCTAGTACCTGGCAATCAATGGTTTTCCTACCTTGACTAAGCACTGTCACAATTTTCTTCCTTTCAGGTCAGACCTGTGGCTGAAGAAGAAATGTTCAAAGTTTTACGAACTGGCAAGAGAAAAAGTAAGTGAACCTAGGTGCCAATAGTGTAAATCTGTAATATTAGTTGACATTTGGCTTGTATGCTCGGTGCATTCATGTATTTGTACTTCCTCGTAGCTAGGTGCCAAAGCAGTTTTACATGTCATCTAGTAGTGATTTGAGAAACTACCATGTGTTATTAGGCATCTGATTTCTGCCAAAGCAGTTTTACATGTCATCTAGTAGTGATCTGAGAAACTACCATGTGTTATTAGGCATCTGATTTCTGCTAACGAATGACGCTTATGCAGCCAAACAGTGGAAGAGAATGGTCACTAAGGCCACCTTTGTTGGACCTGGGTTTACAAGGAAACCACCAAAGTATGAACGGTTTATTAGGCCAACTGGCCTTCGTTTCACAAAGGCCCATGTTACTCACCCTGAGCTGAAATGTACTTTCAACCTTGACATAATTTCTGTGAAGAAAAACCCAAATGGTCAAATGTACTCTACTCTTGGTGTTTTGACAAGGGGAACTATCATTGAGGTATGTCAAGAATTCTGCCTGTATATGAAAACAAAAGTAATCTCATTTAAGTTGTTAGTATTACAGCTGATAGTGAATTATTGATAATGAAAACTTTAGCTTTTATGAGATAAATTCCTTTTGTGCTCTTGATTATCTTACTGATGTGGCATATATGGGATATGGTGAACTTCTTAGTGGCAGCAGATTGCTGGAACCACTTTAACATTGTTGGATGCTTGTCATGTTCATTTAGACATCCTGCTTTTACCTGTTGGTGCTTACAGACTTTATCTTTTCAGGTGAACGTTAGTGAACTTGGTCTGGTAACCCCTGCTGGAAAAGTTGTTTGGGGTAAGGCATCTGTTGAATGTTCTGCTTATTTTGCTTTTTAACTTCTCCCTGGAACTTGTTCCATAAAACAGCGTTCTTGTCGTGCAGGTAAATATGCACAAGTTACAAACAACCCAGAGAATGATGGCTGTATCAATGCTGTCTTACTCGTGTAAGGACGCAATGCTATACACTTCATTCTTCTCGTTGCGACTCTCACCCCAGATGTACCCGTTCAGTGGGTCTTTTTGACCGATCATTCAGAGTAGCGTGTTTTAAACTGTGGGCACAAGGCTCATCTGTTATATGCCTTTAACATATCTGGAATACATTTTACATTGTATGTCGTGGTGCAGAAAAGATCTTTACTAGTTACATTTTACAACCTGTTATGAGAGCTACAAGTCTGGTCTCATTTGCTTCTAGACTTCTGCATGTATGTACTAACAGTGTATCTGCTAGTACTTCCCCCGTTCCAAAATTATCTAGCATTTGAAATATAAACACTTCTAGAGTGTTTATATTACATCTAACGATTATCCCATATTATCTATCAACCATTACTCATTCATTTTTCTTCCATTTTACCTTTAACCATTATGCCACCCTTAATGGTACGTCATTCTGCCTTTAACCTGCAAAATGCAAACCGATTCCTTTAGACTTGTTAAGATGTGGCTAATTGTTTCTAACTTGGATAAGTTTGATATTTTCTATTGTATATAACCAAACACACGTTACTTCTACTCGGTGCGGAAACTACAAAACCAGAAACAGGTTTAGCCGACGAGGCATGAACTTGGACTCCGGCCTCCGTACGGCCCAAAACAGGTTGTCCGGAACGGGATTCTGGCCCGCGTGAAGGTCTGGACGGGATTGCGGCCTGCGTGCGGCCCATATAAGTTGCTTCGTTCTCTCTCAAAATAAGCATCCTCCAGAAAATCAAATAAACACCTAAACATCACAGAGGATGCAAATGCCGTCAAGAGGCAAATTTGCTAAGCAAACCATTGCTTTCCTGGCTATATGACTTGAAGAATGATACATGGTGTCTACTTCCCACAATGATAAAATCACACCCGGGGAAGATAGCTAATTGTCTGGTTAAATTTCAGCAAATGAAAACTCTATTCGCAGGAGCGGAGTTGGCAACATTCAGATAGTTGACATCAACGGAAACCTCTCCAAAATCATCTGCAGAGGTGTTCAGAAAACCAACTAGGTTATCCATCTATCTCCATAGTGAACCCACCCAGGTAGATTGATAAATTATAAAATCAAACCTTCATATATTGTCCGTACATCCCGAACATAATCACGTATCATATCCTGATAGATAATCCCATCAGGATGTGCATCCAGGACAACTAAAACACCTGTTTCATGTAAAAGTTACCAGCAGAATGTCAATTCATATGTAGGAAAAGTTTGTTTTTTGTTTGTTCGAGAGAAATAGAAATAGGAGTTGAAGTGAGATGAACTGCGTATGAGCCCCTAATTCAGAACCTAAACAATCTTGGAGACAATGGAGAAATGTGAACAGTGTTAAGTACTCAGGGGCAGCATACCTGGTGATAGCCAAGCTTTTGTTTCATTAGATGGCAATGGTGCTAACCAAAGGATGTTGCGTAAATTCATAGAATCATCGTACACTACATTAGATCCTGTCATAGAGAAAATAAACAATTTAATAAAATCCAATCGGTGAAAAAAAAGTCAGATTAAGACTTCCCATGCATCTGACTAAAATCATACCTGCCTGACAAAATCCCAAACTGTAAGGGAACAATTCCTTATCAAATGCTGGATATTCTTTAGCATGGAATCTGTCTCAAGAATAGCTCACACCTTAATCATTTGCATTTACATATTTGATGAAGATACTATACAAGTTTCTGGCACATATGTACTGTATTAAAGATTATGTGTTGGCACTAAAAAAAAAATTCCACATATCTGTGACCAAATGCTTGTTCCTGCATACTCGCGATAGTTTTAGATTCAATTCTCAATTTTTCCAAAGAAAAATCTAATATCCAACTTAAATTTGCATATGATTCAATTCTAGGTTGTATGTTCAGATTGGAGTACCTAGTCAATATAACAGATAGTGAATAGTAAATTAGTAATGTTACCATACATACAGAACCGTGCATTTTCATACAACTTCTCACTTGATACTTAAGAAATCGGAGTGGCCAGCGTTAGAAAGTGTTGAGCACAAATTGTATAGAGTAACTGATGACACTTACAGAATTCCAAGCCTTCCTGTCCCAGAAGCAAGGAAGAGGTGTCCGTGGAAGAAATCGTATCGACTAAGTGATACATTTAACCCCACTGATGGTCCTCGTGCCGCAATCAATTCGAACAAAAACGCCAGGTATGAATTGATGTCCTGTTGATAACACAAACATGTCACTTGAACAATGCCCAACCTTTGTAAGTAAAAAGAATTTCAAGTGCAAGCAAACAGCTAGGGCAAAAATCTGGACCTTGTTAGCGAAACGCCTCCCATATGGTGTTCTTGTGAGTTGGCATTTGTTCCTCTTCGCCCTCTGAACATCAGGCACCTAACGAAATTCCCCCGGTAGATTTTGTTATGGAAATTAATTTCAGGATTGTACGTAACACATCCAGAACTATGCAGAGTTAGAATTTTTACAATTTCTCGGAGATAGATATAGCTACGAGCTACGAAGAACGAGATAAACGAGAGCTCACCGGGAGCATGGTGGGGTCGAGCGCGCGGTGGATGGCACCGGGGTCGCCGCCGGAGTCGACGGCGAGGCGCGCGAGCTCCATGACCGGCGCCGGCGGCCACATCACCATCCCATCCGCCTCGTCCGCGCCGCCGCGCTCCACAAGAACCTTCCTGGCGGCCCTCCCCTCGGAGATCGCTGCGGCGGCGGGGAGGGGGAGGACCGGGGAGAGGAACCGGAGGCAGGCGCGCAGGCGCGCCGACTCCGCGGCCGGCGGCACGCGCGCCGCGGCGCCCGGGCCGGCGAGCACGGCGAGGAGGTCGGCGGCTACGGCCCGCGGCGAGGGAGGCGCGGCGCAGCAGGAGACGGAGAAGGAGACGGCGAAGGCGACGGCGAAGGCCAGCTTCAGCGAGAGGATGGGAGACACAGAAAATGACTGAAACATCCTCCTTTGCTTAGTTTGCAACCTGCAAGTCTTCGTAGCTTTCTTTCAGTTTCAGATAAGCGAACTTTGGCCCAATTCTACACTACACTACTTGCTCTCTGCTCTTATTGTAAGATTGCAGATTTGTAAAAAAAATATAGTGTGATGAGATGAGTTTGTTTGTTTGTCATGTTGCTACTTGCTTCTCTCTCATTAGTATTGGATCAGGATTAATATTGAATTTGGATCAGGATTTAATATTGAATCTGCGTGGATTTGCAGTCCGCATGATCCCATAGTAAAAAAACCGGACCGGAGGTCGATCTGCTCTGGTCATCGGTTCACCTGTTCGACCAGTTCACCTGTTCGCCGGTTTTTTATTTATTAATATTATATTTGATTTGCATTATTTTAAATATAGAATCATCACAAACTGGTAAAATATGCATAAGTAAAATAGTATATCTATTATTATACGGTCACAACATAAAAAAACAAAAATAGTGTGGTAATGTAGTAAATTCGTAATGTCATACTGTTAGGACAAATTTAAAATCGGTCCGATTCTTAAAAAACCGCTACCGGTTCACCGGTTCTCGCAAAAACCGTCTGAATCACCGGTTTTTTACGGGTTCTGCTACAGTGGCGGTCGTTTTGTTGAACCGAGCAACCAAGGTCACTGGTTCCGGTTATTTTCGGTTCAACCGCCTGCTCGATCCCATTTTTTTTTTACTATGCATGATCCACGACCCCACGAGGTTCACCGTCGTCCTCGACCTCACCCTTTTTGTTTTGGTGAATTGGTGTGCTTGCGCAGCACATGTGTCATTTGTTTATGCGTCTACGACGAAACAAAGCTGATCTGCTACGAGATCTGCCGGTTGCAAACAAGAGTAAAAATTCTGTTCTAAATTCTTAATGGTACCATCACGATCTTTGCTTCCACGTTACTCAAGATCAGCTTCGTGTTCTGCTTCTGCACACAACAAACCAAAGCAGTATCAAACTCCATTCCCCGAACAGATTTTGCGCCGATCCAAGAGCATATTTTGCACTGGATATCTGAGCGAAATCTGCGCTGGAATACTGTCACTTTAGCCGTTGGTCTGGTCGTCCGTCGGACGGATCGAGGAGATGACTTTCGCCGGCGTAGCGGGCCAGTAACCCAAACATGGCCCGTTCCTCCGTCAAATGATGGGGGAGTGGGCCTCCCCAGTTTCCCTTATAGGAAAAAGTACACAGTAGGTCCCTCAGCTTGTCATCGAGATTCAAAATCGTCCCTCAACCATAAAACCAGATATCGGGCGTCCCTCAACTTACAAAACCGTTCACTTTAGATCCTTCGGTGGTTTTGACCCCGATTTTATCTGATGTGGCGGCTGAGTCAGCATGAGACCCGCGTGGACCCACAAGTGAGCCACTACCCTTCTCTTTCTACCTTTCTTCTTTGGCAACTGGTAGTGGAGCGAGAGCGATGGCGGCGACGGGCAGGGAAAACCAGAGACGCGCGACTGCTCTCGGCGGTGGCGGTGCTCGCTTGCGAAGAGAGGAGCTAGGCGTCAACGGTGGCGGCCGTCGGCTTAGACCCACAGGCGCCGCCCTAGAGCACGACGCGGCCACATCACTTCCTCTCTCTTCTTGGCGACCGATGATTGGGGAGACGCACAGCTGACGATAGGCCCTCGCTAGCGAAAACGAGTGGGCAGAGGAACGGTGGCCGGGAGAGAGCGGTGGCGGCCAACAGATAGGAGCGGTGGCTGGGAGAGAGGAGCGACGACCGACGGAGAGGAGTTGGGCGGCGGTGGCCGTCGGCTCTAATGAGCCGCCGCTCCTGCCATCCTCCCCCGTCCCCGCGCCATGCCTCCCACCCCTCCAGCTCCTGCCAACGGCGGCGCCTGGTCCTGGCGATGCCGCGGAGGCGGCGACAATACGGGAAAAGGGGAGGCAGTGGTTGCAGAGGCTGCAGACCCGGAGGAGGACTTCAGCGGCCGGCGACAGGCGAAGCAGGAGAAGGGGAGGCAGCGGAGCACCGCGGGTGGTGGGCGCAGGCGGCGAGGGGAGGAGCAGCCCGCGGGCGGCGGGGGAGGAGCAGCGCTGTTGACTGAAAACACGTGGCCTGGGAGATCTGCTTAACTCCAGTGCAGGTCCAAAGCTCGCCTTCGGGTATGTTAGCATGCCAGTTGATTTGATCCTATAATCAATAAGAAATAGAAGCAAAGAAACCGTGGGTAAATCTATAAATGATAGCCAATCGGCTAGGTGCCGATGACGTATCATTTATCTTTGAGCCGATGTCATCTGTGTATCGATCGGCAGTCATGAATAAATAAGAAAGAACTAAATCTACTCGATCGGCTGTAGATATTAATGATATACACTCCTTATATTGATATATACTTAAATCAAGTGATTGGGATAGATCAATCGCTATGCCGAGACAGTATAAATCACTTAGATCGAAATATATATCAATTAACAAGACTATATATGTTTATAGCATAGCCGATCAGATAGATCTAGCATGTATCGGCTAATACTCCGATACTACTCTATATCAGGATATTAAAGCAGGTATAATATATCAAACAAAGGCCTAATATACTTAGATACAACAATATCTTGATATAAAGGGCAGATTTAACATGTCAATGAAGCATATAGAACAAATATAGTTAAATCTGATAAAATCGGCTGAAACTTCGATGTTACTCTAATCGGTAACTAGAAAGCAGGCTAGAGATCGATATTCTAAACACGACTTAATATATCAAACTCAACTGATATAGTATTAAGTATGAAAAGAAGAACGATATCTAGACAATCAAGCCGCTAGAAGTTTCATAGAGTGGTAGATATCTTATATAATCTAGATCAACGTCAAAATCTAACCTAATCGGTTGCCCTCTGCTAACAGATGTTAGCCGATAGTAGATTAGATAGCGATATTGCCAGAGGTTATGTAAGATATATGATAACTCGATAAATTACATAAACAAGATTAGAGTGTCGTAAAGATGGAAGCACTAATCCCGAGAATATAAGTCATCATAACAAGTTTTACCTCTTGTTGAAGATCGAAACCGATGCAGCTCAACCCGAAAGCAAGAACTCGTCGAAACAAAACTAAAGCAAAAGGGTGGCGATGCGCCGAAATTGTATTGAACGTGTGTGTGTTTAATTACATATGGCTCGGGGTCTATTTATACCCGAGAATTACAAGATATGCCCATACTACTATTATCTCTAACAAACTCTAAGATACCACAAGTCTTTGCGGCAGACTTTTGCCCACATTTATCTATATGGAACCTACATAAAATATCCTAATTAATAGATACAATTGCCTTCCCAGGACTCTATCCGTGCGTGGCAACCATCTTGAAGTAAATTAACTTGAACCCGACGTCGTACACAGATCGTATTGTCGGAATCGGCTGTATCGGCTTACCTAGCCCAACTCAGACCCAGCCGATCCTAATCATAGCCGATCTAGACTTCAGCCGATTCCTACTTTGTTTCCGAACTCGATCTCCGCCTCCGACTTCGCTTTGATCCAATCTTCTTTCCTGACACAGATGTTACCAAATTTGGTTGTTAACAGGCGCGCGGGCGGCGGGCAGTGGCCGAGGGGGAACCCGCGCGCCGCCCCTCCCCCGCCGCCTGTGCGCCGCTCCTCCCCCCGCCGCGTCGCCCATCGCCGGTCGCCGATGCCCTCTCTCCCGCCTCGCACTGCCGGGCTCGCAAAGAAGTGAGAGAGATGATAAAGGGAGAGAAGAGGGGAAAGATAGAGGAGGCTGATACGGCCATGCTCACTTAACCGCCACATCGGACAAAACCAGGGTCAAACCGCCAAAGGACCTAAAGTGAACGGTTTTGTAAGTTGAGGGAAGCTCGATATCTAGTTTTGTGGTTGGAGGCGATTTTATAACTGAATGACAAGTTGAGGGATCTTCGGTGTACTATTGGGTCATGATTTGACCCATCTAACTGAGAGTAGTGAAGGTACAAGAAAAGCACGTACTTGTAGCACTAGCAAGTTTTAGGAAGCAGTTAGACAGAGACGTGCCACATTTATGCCACCGTTTGACGCAGCCCAAAAAAGAAGAAGCAAAAATGAAAACAAAGATATTCCTGCGTCGTGCACCCGTGCGCCATCTAGATCCCCCAGCTCCTACAAACGACGCTCCTTTTTGTTGCGGCTGTCAATCTGTCATCACTCATCACTCTTTCTCAAAGCTTCTATCAAAACCTGAATGATTTCTACCATGGAAAAGCCATTAAAGAGGTCCAGGTCTTCTAGCACCAACATGGTAGGAGTAAACAAACAATGGAGAGGCATCACATTGAGCAAGAAAACTCATACGCGTGCTTCTCCCTCTCACTCGGCGGCCGTACGTCACGACTCCGTACGTGGCCACGTTACGCAGCTATCCACGCGCGCCTCCCGTACAAATGCTGCACCACGCAACACCGTCGCTGCAACGATCCGTGTGCACCGCGAACGTGCAAAGATTTCCAACGATCGAACGTTCGACGTCGTCGTCATGGCGCAGGCGGAGCGCGAGCGCCTTCGCGTGCTCATGTTCCCGTGGCTCGCGCATGGCCACATCAACCCTTACCTCGAGCTGGCCACCCGCCTCACCACCACCTCCTCCTCCCAGATCGACGTCGTCGTCCACCTCGTCTCCACGCCCGTCAACCTCGCCGCCGTCGCGCACCGCCGGACCGACCGGATCAGCCTCGTCGAGCTCCACCTCCCAGAGCTCCCCGGCCTGCCCCCGGCGCTGCACACCACCAAGCACCTCCCGCCGCGGCTCATGCCGGCCCTCAAGCGCGCCTGCGACCTCGCCGCGCCGGCGTTCGGCGCGCTCCTCGACGAGCTGTCCCCGGACGTCGTGCTCTACGACTTCATCCAGCCGTGGGCGCCGCTCGAGGCCGCGGCGCGCGGCGTCCCCGCCGTCCACTTCAGCACCTGCAGCGCCGCCGCCACGGCGTTCTTTTTACACTTCCTCGACGGCGGCGGCGGCGGCGGCGGTCGCGGCGCATTCCCCTTCGAGGCCATTAGCCTCGGCGGCGCGGAGGAGGACGCCAGGTACACCATGCTCACCTGCCGAGACGATGGAACCGCCCTGCTCCCCAAGGGCGAGCGCCTGCCGCTGAGCTTCGCGCGCTCGTCGGAGTTCGTCGCCGTCAAGACGTGCGTGGAGATCGAGAGCAAGTACATGGACTACCTGTCCAAGCTCGTAGGCAAGGAGATCATCCCGTGCGGCCCGTTGCTCGTGGACTCCGGCGACGTCAGCGCCGGCTCCGAGGCCGACGGCGTCATGCGGTGGCTCGACGGGCAGGAGCCGGGCTCCGTGGTGCTCGTCTCCTTCGGCAGCGAGTACTTCATGACGGAGAAGCAGCTGGCCGAGATGGCGCGCGGGCTGGAGCTGAGTGGCGCCGCCTTCGTGTGGGTGGTGCGGTTCCCGCAGCAGAGCCCCGACGGCGACGAGGACGACCATGGCGCGGCGGCGGCGCGCGCGATGCCGCCCGGGTTCGCGCCGGCGCGCGGGCTGGTGGTGGAAGGGTGGGCGCCGCAGCGGCGCGTCCTGTCGCACCGCTCGTGCGGCGCGTTCCTGACGCACTGCGGGTGGAGCTCGGTGATGGAGTCGATGTCGGCGGGGGTGCCGATGGTGGCGCTGCCGCTGCACATCGACCAGCCGGTGGGCGCCAACCTCGCGGCGGAGCTGGGCGTCGCGGCGCGCGTGCGGCAGGAGCGGTTCGGCGAGTTCGAGGCCGAGGAGGTGGCGCGCGCGGTCCGCGCCGTGATGCGCGGCGGCGAGGCGCTGCGCCGCCGCGCGACGGAGCTACGCGAGGTGGTGGCGCGGCGCGACGCGGAGTGCGACGAGCAGATCGGCGCGCTGCTCCACAGGATGGCCCGCCTCTGCGGCAAAGGCACAGGCCGTGCAGCCCAACTAGGACACTAGATCGGGGCGTGTTGCGGGCCAGATTCAGCATAGTGGGCCGCGCTGTGGGATGGGCCACGGGATGGTTGGGTGGGCCGTGAAACCGGTCTCTTCGTAGACCTCGGTTTCAGCCCATTTAATCCAGCCTGACGATCCGTTCTGCAATTTGTGCATCTAAACAATCGATCTCCCGTTGTTCTGAATTTGTTGCATATGATGTTGTTTCAAGTCATTCTCTATCTGCTAGTTATAATAAATGTAGTGTTCATGTATATAAAAAGATGGAATTCTGATGGCTACCGGTTAATATATTAGAGGAAATGCTAGAACAAATCCAGTTCATTTCCTTCCAGGTTTTGAATTCATCGATCTGTTGGTTCATCGGTGAGCAGAGCAATGGATAAATTGGAGCAGTCAGTGCACATGCCTTTGGTTGATCAGTTCAAGAACAGATTAACTCGAGCCGCCTCGTGATATGCTTGAGGCAGGCATCCACGAGCTTGCCACCTAGGAAGGATCTGAGGAAACAACTAAACAGCCATCCCAATTTTGACAAGCCAAACTTTACTCAATCACTCGTTGATTTCTGCTGTCAATAGACAGGTGCTCAGCTGACAGATAACAGTGTCAGATGCGTTGAATCGTCCCTGCAACATTCACCTTGTTTAAGAACAACAAACTCGACCAAGAACAGGTCATGCGACTGCATGTTTCGCCGCAACGTTTCATTAAAAAATTTCAAATTGATGCATATGGAAATAGAGTACTAGGCCATAACAATAGAAATTTTCTTATGCTTATCTGAAACTTGGGAGGAAAGCTCACATCAAGTGATGTGATGACCTCGGCAGAAAACTCACAGGATTACCATCATGTACGGCTATAAACTACTCCTAAGTACAGTACACCCATCCATCAGCAGCCATAAGCATGCATTGATCAGCTGAATGGAAAAACTATTCAGTTCTAATTTGGAAGCTTGTGTGCACTTTTTTCTTTGTTGACGATGGGGCACGAATTCTGCATCTTGCCTGCTACAGCTGACGAGGCACCTTGTTATTTAATTCCCTTGATTAATAGTGCAGTTAAGTTGCTGTTACTGTCATCATCTTCAGTTCCAAAACCAAAAAGGGCACCACCTCTATGAACTTATCCTGCTGCTTTGGTCATCTGAAGGGGCGTTAATTGGAATGTGCGTATACATTTATGCACGCTTTTCAGGCTCGGCGACCTACCTGTCACTGTCCTTGCTTTCAGTTCACCGGGCCTTTTTTTTAAAAAAAATTCGCCGGGCCTTGCTTTCAGTTCAGGTTATTAACTGGTTAAACAAGCAGAGGTGTGAGATGAGCACAGCTGATTCTTTAATTGGGAATTGATCACAAGCTTGAGCTCAATTATTATTAGTATTCTAGAATGGTTGGCCTGTTGGTTTCAGTGCTTGCTACATGATATCCATTTTGGACAGATGGATTGAACTTTACCAACTCATGGAACTCTACGTGGACTGCTACAGTTTAGACGAGCGATCAAGAACACTGTTTTGTCTCAACGGAATTGCGGCAAATGCAGTTCTTTTTTATGCCGCCGGGCACTCTCATTGGTACATGGTGCTCTAGCTAGAGGCCGGCGTACATGTAGAGATCAACTTGATTAATTAAGCTGTTCGTTTCGTGCACATAATTATTGTGCATTGTTAAATGCGACTGACGACTGTATTTAGTACTCTGGCCAATAAAAGATACGATCAAGACATATCACATGACATTTTGGACACGAGTTGTTTATCAGTGTGGAATTTATTAATAATTCTCTTCCTTGACCAACTCTGCAACTGAATCATTGAAATGTTGCAGAACCTAGTGGCGAAAGATAGATTCAGAATTTCAGACGGTTACATGCAAGAAGGAATTAAGTTATGAGTTCTTACATTTTCTTACTCACTCAAATTAATCTTGTATGCACCAAATGAATGTATAGTGCCACGTTAGGGCTTTCAAGAACAAAGAATGTAAGCTAGTGGGTTTTGCATTATCTTTATTGATCTCATCTCTTCTTTGCCGGCTCGGTGGCGAAGAAGTGCCCTGACCAATTTTATTAGGATTAAGAGAAGGTAAAATATTTTCAACAAACATGGTTGTTAAGATTACATTACGTCCTGTGAACGAACGTGACTTTGCCTAGAGCATACAAATTAACCTGAAATTGAAACGACTTTGCCTATGTAAAATTGTAATCTCTCATATGTACTTTCTACTATTGCACTTTTGAATGAAATTCAGTTGAGGAATCTCTTCCCTCCGGTGAGTTGTTCAAAAAAAAAAAAGCCTTCTCCAGCTGTTTGTCATAATTCATAAATATGTTAAAACAGCTGATTGTTTGTATCCATATAAAAGAACATCATCATGACTTGCCCTCCTCCAAAAAGGTTCAAATAAAACAGTATGTCAGCATCAATATACCTCACGCTTGCACTTTCTTCACTTTTCCCCCTGTATATTACTAGCCACAAACCAAGCCCTAGATGCTATATCACCAAACTAACCATCGTCTTCCTCCTCAAATCATCATCTTCCAAACATACAATTCGGCAGAGGTAATTAAATTCATGGCAAGGGTCTACTCCTCTTTTCCTCCGCCACCGCCGTCGCCGCCGCCGCCGTCGACGACGAGCGAGCAGAGGAAGGTGTTCACGCTGTGGATGAAGTCGCTGGTGCTCAACGGCCGCGGCTGCACCGTCTACGACTCCACCGGCGGCATCGTCTACCGCGTCGACAACTACGGCTCCAGCTGCAGCGACAATGTCTACCTCATGGACCTCCGCGGCAAGATCGTCCTGAACATACTCAAGAAGGTATTTATATGCACATGATCATCACGGCTAGCACACAGTTTTTGATATGTTTTTTTTTCTTCGATCTTACAATCTACATATGCATATGATTTCCATGTATCTAATTTGTTTAAATATTATCAAACCTTAAGATCTCGAAATTCTTATCATATCTATGCCGCTTTATCAAAAACAAAAAAGTACTTGGACATTTGACGATCAAATTTGACATTAGTTTTGATTTAGCTCAAAATTATCAAATTCAGAGCCTTTTAACAAAGGCCGGTCAGACCACAGTACATGTCTGATCGGCCCTACTGCGATCTGATAGGTGTTTAACCATATGGTCTTCCGAGTCTTTTTTTTAATGATTCACACGAGACAGTGCGAAGTTTATATTGATAGAGTAGAAAAAAAATACAAGATTACAACCTTGGAAGGTCGTAACCAGGAAAACGAAGAAAAAAATAACCCCACCCAAGCATTGACAACTCCAACACACAATCCTACTAGGAGAAAGCGCACTGGACCGACCGCCGCTAGACCAACAAAGGGACAATAGTTAGGATCACCCAAAACCCAACCCTAACAAACGGATACAAATCTGCACTCTATCCACAACTATTTCTCGTGTTTTCTTGATCGGGCATGTGTGTCGTTAACATTGTGATTGCATGCAGAAGCTTGCATTCGGCAAGTGGGAAGGGTACAAATGGAGCAGCGGCGAGAGGCAACGAGACGCTGCCGCCGGTGCAGGAGCAGGAGGGGCGTGGTTCACGGTGACGCGGCCGTGCAGCAGCATCCTGTTCCAGCGGAGGCGCCGGCCGTCGTCGACGTGCGAGTTCCGGAGCGGCGGCGGCGGCGGCGACGACGGCGGGCGCGCCATGCGGTACAAGATGGACGACTGCAGCGGCGGCGGCGGCGGCGGAGGTAAGCAGCAGGCGTGGTGCAGGATCGTCGACGGCGCCACCGGCGCCGTGGTGGCGGAGGTGAAGGGGAAGACGACGGCGGGCGGCGTGGCGCTGGGAGACGACGTGCTGACGCTGACGGTGGAGCCCAACGTCGACCACGCGCTCATCATGGGGATGGTGCTCGTCTACGGCCTCATGAACCACACCATGTGAAATTGTGAATGCGATGTGATCGATCGAGCTTGATGAATTGCTGCGGTGAAGATCGAAGCAAATGAAAATTGAAGCATAGAGAGACGCGCGTGATAGGATTTCTTCCTCTTTTGTTCTGGTGTACATGTATGTGTACTTCGGTTGAGGAAATTTTGGTGAAATTAATAATACAGGTTTAGTTTTGGGATTTTTGAGCTGGTGCTTTCTTTAGGAGATCGTTTGAGGGCTGAGGGAGTCGGGAACCAACCCAACCAAACTGACATAGAACCAAGACAAGTTGTTAGCAAGTGAAGACTGATCTCTGAGTAATTTCTTAGTCGGAACACCGCTCTTTGATCGATCACCTATTTTCTTTCTTTTGTGGAAGGCTTACGGTCTAACAGCACATCACCGATCTGCATTCAAATTTTTCTAGTAATATTCGGGCACAGAAGTTTCTTTAGTAATCGGCCAAGAATTCGGACAAGATAGTTCGGGCACTATTTTATCGCTTAAGATTGGCCGGTTATGATTTTCTCATTTAGGAGTTGATCTTCGGACAAGATAGTTCGTGCACTATTTTATCGCTTAAGATTGGCAGGTTACAACCGATTTTCTCATTTAGGAGTTGATCCCTTAAAAAAAAACAAATCTAGAATTGAATGCCTGGATCTAGAATTGAACCTGCAGCACTGAAGCATTAATTCATTGAACAAAGCAAATGCACTATTTTGCACGCTGCCATGAAAACCAGGTACCACGGAATGAAGAAAAAGAAACATGGATAAACGGTATATACCAATTGAACTGCAGAGATACGAGCATCAATTGATTAAATGAATTGCACTGGCTGTCGACATAAATCAACCGATCTGATGGTCAGGCTTACAGGCTTGATAGTTCAAGTTCCAAACCGGTTTTTCTACGCTACACTTCGGCCTAACGAACTTACAGTTGACATGAATAGAGAGATCAACGACTAATTTGACTGGGTATCACCTATACATGAACAACAACAGAAGAGCTATTTCTTGTCTATCTCCCGGACCGCTTTACGCTAATGCTTATGTTGTATGTACATAGGCTAGCGATAGGCTACATGAAGTAGCTTAGAGAAGTCTTCTTCCTGGACCCGCCTTCTCCATATAGATCGTTCCACTGAATAAGCTCAGTCATATTTCTCGAATCAGATGTTATACTTGCACATACCTATACATAAAGTAGTTTATGTTAGCATCATATTTTTATATAAGTAATTTAGAGACTACAAAACATCTGATGACCATGTAGACATGAACATATGAGTTCTTTCTTTTCTCCTGACACACCACTAGGGCTGTAGGCAGCAATTATACGTAATGTTTGAGATGGAAATGAAAACCATCGATACGTTTATTAGAAATTGCGAGTTTTGAGACATCAGATCTTGTAGTAGCCTGAGTCTCTTTTTGTTTTTCCCTTTTCCTCATTTTCTTTTCCTGAAAAAGGAAAGAAGTGGCAGTAACATTACCTGCTCATGTGCATGTTTGAAATCGTTCATTCTTAGGGAACGAACATCACTGCTAGAACGAGGGGGAGGTAATGGTTTATTTTCTGCTTCTGCTGATGCTCTCTCCTGCAGGTAGACAAAAAATGGTGAACTGAGTTCATCGTATAACAGTAACAATAACAACCGACAACTAATTGTTCATCATATTAATATATCAATGATGTTCTGTAGACAGGGCATGCAATGATATTATACACAGTTTTTCAGTGGATAAAAGAGCAGTTCCACAGTATTGACTATATTTTCACTAGGATGAAATAGACCAGAAACATTCACTCAGTAGATTTTTTTTTCTTCAATAACTTGGTAGAAATTGAGAAGGCACAATCTCGACAAATCAAACTAACCTTCTTCTCTCTTTCAAGGATCTCCCTTATGGGGCAATGTGCAGCAGTTACACACAGATTCTGAAAAGTAGTTGCCATCATGAACAAAAGGAAAATAAAATCATTGTTTTATTTCAACAAAATGAAATCAAATAAGAATAAAGAGTCTTCACATAAAGCAAAAATACCTTCATATCACTGCCTGAATAACCATCAGTCAAGTTAGCCAGAGCTTCCAGATCTACATCATCAGCCAAATCTTCTTTGGCCAGTATTACGCTAAGAATCTTTTTTCTATTGGATGCATCTGGCAAATTCACCATCAACCTAAATTGATATGTGATCAGGCAAGCAACCATTAGCATTTCATTGTAAAAATAAAAGGAATACCACAGCGATGTAAAAAAAGTTACCTCCTGGGGAGCCTCCTAACAACAGCTTCATCAAGATCAAATGGTCTATTGGTGGCAGCAAGTACTAATACGCGTTCTTTATCTTTTGTTCTCAGACCATCCCAATTTACCATAAACTCATTTTTCATCTTGCGCATAGCTTCATGTTCCCCTGGGTTCTCCCTTCTACCCAGCATGCCATCAACCTACAAAAACGAATGGATAGAAAGTAAGAAACTCAACAGGATAAACCAAAATCATGCTAGCCTGCTGAATCATAGGCAATATAAAAAAGAGTGATTCACAGCTTTCACTTTGGAGTTTGGACAACCCTTTAACCAATCTTTTCACTTTGGACTAGGTAACTTTGCCTTTGTTGCAATTTGGTTAGAGAAGAGAGTTGGGGTGGTCAAAAGTGCAACAAATGTAAAATTACCAGTCCAAAGTGAGAAGATTAGGTATATGGTGGTCCAAACTGAAACATTGGTAATATAAAAGGTGGGCCAAACGACAATTCATTCCAAAAAAAATGACCATAAGAATTTTGTTGACTGACCTCATCCACAAAAATGACACTAGGAGCAATTTTGCTTGCAAGTGAAAACACAGCTTTGACATATTTCTCACCCTCGCCAAACCACTGTCAGAATCAGATATCAGCAAAAGGAGTATTCAAGATGTGAACAATCTGGAACTCTGCATAGCTCTATAAAGGGAGTACCTTTGAAGCAATACTAGACATTGATATGTTGATAAAATTGGCGCCAGCCTCTGTTGCAACAGCTTTAGCAAGCATGGTCTTCCCCGTACCAGGTGGGCCAAAAAGCAATATTCCCTTACATGGCTGGTGAATAAATGGTGATCAGAACTATGTTTGTGAAACAAGTGGAAAAAAGAAACAAGAGACCAAATAAAAAAAACAGACCATGATAATTAGCATGCTACATTTAGTTTGCAGGGTTTTTTTTAAAGGGTTAGGGGGCACATGAATCAATAATTGATGCGTGGGGAGCCTACTAGGCTACATGATACAAAATACTCCCAACATGAAAGCTGGAATAAAAATTAGTGCTAATGGAAAAAATAGTTGAATCTCAAAAGCACAGAACAGTAGAGTTAATGGGCAAACAATAGAATCACAAGGCAACAGAGTTAATGGTCAAAGCATAGCTGGACAGAAGGCCACTGCTCTACATTAAGTACCCACTCAGCAAGCCCGCATGGATATATAAGCGAAGCAGGAGATATTTACTTGAAAGGGGTAAACAGAAAAATCAGAACATCAAATTTCTACAAGTGATACGGAAGACTGAAGAAAGATCACACAGAGTGCAGAGGAACTGAAGGGTACTAAATAAAAGTTATGAAGCTTGAGCTACCTTCATAAGTTGTCCTTTGGAGAACAATTCGGGCCTTTGCAACGGAAGCATCACTAGTTCCTTCAAAGTTTCCTTGACATTTTCTAGTGCTCCAATGTCCTCAAAGGTAACACCTATCTCATCTGGAGGGATCACATCACCAAGAAGCCGTTTTTCGAATTCATTCTCTGTCGTTACATCCTAAAAATAACAGTGGGTGTATGTAAGCTGTAAGCACAGTTAACATGAATAGCCCCAAAGCCCAAAAATCATGTCATTACTGTTTGCTTGCAAAACTCTAGAACAGTCAGGATACAAACAAGAAGTTGGGCCAGGCTGCCAGTTGCCAGTCTAGTCATAACATATATTTGGCGATCTAAACGGTTAAAGAATAGAAGTTACCTTAAGTGATTTTTTTGTGCTCTTCTTTTTAGGGTCACTTTGCATGCTATCCAACAGCTCAACTCCATGCTTAAGGCTGCAAATATAGAAATTTTCAGTAAAGCAGACATGAGATAGACCAGAAGTTAATCTTTCTTACACAACAATGTAAAATATTACAGGGTTAGAGAGCATACCTTTCACCAGAAAGGGCAAGTAATCCATCATTTTCACGAGTTGGGATTGTGCTATGTTTAAATTGATGACTCAAAGCATAACCAACGACTTTATCGACGCCTGAAAACAAAACAGAGCAAAATAAGAAAATAAGAAGAGCAGATCAATTATGCCACAGAACAAAATTATGCAGGATTACAAATGTAGGACTGTACTCACATTCATTTGTAAGGATTCGATCTTTAACACATGCTGATGTCTCTATGTCAGCACATTCCAGACCATTGCGGGTTAAGAACTACATCCAGTTGCAGAAATACATACAATGGAATCAGAAATATTAAGTAAGAAACAGCATAAGGAGTTGGCAGGTGTGAAATTATTTTCACTTTTTCAGTTATCAAGTGAATCTCGTGTCATAGATATGCAACATGCATGATTCTTAAACCAAGGGGGCTTGTAACCAAACAATTATCTGGAAATTGAAGGGTACATACATGGTAGCACTTTTGAAAAGCCTTTACGGATCAAATATAATTTCAGTATTAAACACACCTGGACCCGTAAGGCCATAAACATAACAGAATAACAATAACTAAACAGACAGCTAATTAAATATACATATATATGTACAAAGTTGTCTACACCATCGATACTTACCGACTGGATCTTTGACGTGTTAGCTTTTGCCTTCAGAATTTCAACATCACGGTCTAATAGCTGTTTCCACTGTGAGAGTTCCAATTCATCCTGTATTTCTCAGAGTTAAAACTTGAAAGAGGCAGTGCCTGAAAGTAAATGTCGCCCTATAATAACACAAATGACACACCTGCGGTGTTTGTATTGTCACTTTATTTGGGAAGAGTTTAGTCAGATGCTTCGCTATCTTCAGAGCCTCTTTGTTTTTATCATTCACCCGACCAAAGCTATCCTGCATTAATTCATCAGATTGTAACAAGTGGAGTTCAATCACAATAATTCAGATAAGAAATAACCTGTACTTCAACAATGAAAAGGAAGTTGAGAATGCTGTGTTACTAGTAACTAGTGACCATTGCAATAAGGAACATCAGACATCTTCTGCATACTGTTATAACTATTATATCCTAAGTTAACCATGGGGTAACCAAAGAAATTCACAAGAATATGAGCACAACTGTAGAAGAACAGGATTTGGCTTAATGTACACAAACATCAATTGCAAGATACTTCAGTAAAACTAGAAAAACACACCTGGAAGGTGAGGTCGAGTATTGCTTGGCTGTATGGGAATTTTGAAAGGAAAGGAGAGCCACTGTTTGACTGTATGAAAAAAAAATTGTTAGCTAGATGGAAACAAGTAAAATTATACTAGTTATAATGATTCTTACAAGCAGCAGTACCTTGTCTTTCCGACTGTCAGTATGGATCTGGGACCCAACAATAAAAACACCAGCTGGGAAACTTTCAATCTTATTCTTTAAGCCATGATAGGAGTAACTGTTTCCACACATTTTCTCAACATCCTTCAAAAATAGTATCAGAGGACCATGCTGACTTTCTTCGGAAGCAAACTGTAGAAAGAACCAGTAAGTAAAAAGAGAAGAATTGGAACACCAACAAACATAGCCAAAAAGGACTGCACACACCTCGTATATTACATCAAATGGATGTTTAGCTCTATCTTCCCATCCTGGGCCATCGAGGCAAAGAGAATCAACTGGAGATACAAGGAAACATAAACAAGTGAATTTCAAATTTACATTATATCAAATATAGTAATAAATGCCAAATTACAGAATCTATGTATGATATAGGTATAAATTATTTAAGGCATAGGAGCACAAGAGCAAACAGGCTCACCTGGACAAAAGAAACCACGGTCAACCTCGCAATTGCCTCCAAGATCAATGCCACCAGGAATCTTTTTATCAAATCTGACTCCAACTTTCGAGGATTCATTTTCCTCAAAAGGAAGCCTAACTTCACCTTGTGAGCCATAATCTGGAGCTCTGCAGATCGTATCATTTGGCATAAACCGATCAGCGGATGCAGATGATGACACCAAAAGATTGTTTACAGGAAAAAAGGCCCCGAGGTGATTGCAAGTAAAAGATGCAAATGGTAACATTAAGATGGCATTTGTAAACAAAGGGAGATAACAGATAATTCAGGGAAAAAAACACGTAGTTCAACCCTCACACACCATCATTGATCACATGCCGGACTGATGATCCGAAACTAAAACCAATCAGGGTCGTTTGTTAAAAAAAAAAAGAGCCTGCGGCATATCAATACCAACTATATAACCTAAGAATATACAGTAAGTTCATTATAATATCACATGCAATGTTCACAAAAAAAATGGAGCTAGAGATTATTGTCATGATTACTACGTAAGATCTGCTTTTCTGGGTACGTTTGGAACACAAAATTGCCACAAGAACTGAAATAACAGTGACGTCGCTTGAATACTTCAGAAAGCTTATGTTTATGCAAGACATAACCTACTGGGAACCATTTATTGTAGCACCCTTTAAAAATGTTTCCAGATTAGCACTACAGTAGTAACTTGTCTATCTAAACTCCTCACTCTTTTGGTACTGTCACATGACAAAATGTACTTTAGGTGAACACAGAAATGGAAACTGCTTCCCATAATGAGGCACCGATTTCAACAGAGAACATTAGAAAGCCAATAATCTATCTTAATATGCCTCACCTTTGTCCCTCAAGGATAATCCCTGTTGATTGTACTGAACCAATGTATCTCACCCTATCTCCTGAAAAAACCATCAGAAGCATTGACGTTGTGGTTTTATTATCATCATAAATATTCTGAAAAAAGGAACTACAATCTCCTGCAAACTTTACTGCACGGACAAATTTAAGGTCACCATACTCAACTCAATGATTTTCTACTTAAACTAGGCATACATAGCGACCAAAGCAGTCACTACTCAGTGAGTCTGTGCATATAACTAATAGTACATGCATAGTCTTACCTTTTTTGTACGACTCAGATTCCTTCGACTTTGAAGACTGTCCCTGAAAAGAAAAATGAAATATATCCAAGAACCATATTAATTCAAGCAATAGTGTATGTCCCTACATGCTTAGGCAAACATTTTGTCTATAAGTATTTAAGCAGGCACAGAATTATACTAGAAAAATTATATATGCAAAATCCAATTTACAAATCAACATTTAAAAAGTTATCTAAAAGATCAACATTTAAAAAGACAGGCCATAAGGAAATTCAGTTATTGCGATATTAGCAAAAGCTAGAACTTCTGGATGTATTTGCATACGGTAGTAGCAAGGTTGATAATTTTGCTATGAAGTTGTGGACATTATCTGAAGAATCAAGATTTGAATAAAAATTAAGCAGTGTAGCACAAAATACTACAGCAGAATGTAAGAGGAAATACATCAGTATGACTTGGGTGTGTGTTCTTGTCAGAAAACTGTGATGGCTCATTTGAATAACATCAGCGCACATTAAACAGTACGCACACTTTCTCTAGAGAAAGAGACCATGGTTATGGTTAAGAAGCTTACACTCGCCAGCAACGAAGGATCTATAATGAGCAGCTTAGCACCAAAGTGTTTGGTAAGAGCCTTCACTAATGATTCTTGGTATATCTCAGATCCTTTAAAAATGCCAATTATTTTAGTCAACAATCCATGCATAGCATTTTAAAAAATTAGTAAATGCCAGCAACAATTTTCTTTTAGAGTGAAAAATGGACTCTCTTAAAAATTACTAATTGAGCAGTTAATTTACATTCAGCGATAAGCTTACCAGCTGGACCAGACAATAATACCCGTTGGCAAAGAGAAGATATATGTTTTGTCCATTTGATGGATTCCTTGCAACATAAGTTTACATACGCTGAAGACAGGAGAGCATTTTTGGTATTCTCACTGCAAAAGGTTAGGTCCCATTAAAAGATAGTTCTTAACCACATGAGACTAAGCACTCAACATTAACTAAGAAACAGGCAGATTAGTACTTCAGTTATAAGGTCTTATTAGAACTTAGAACTACTCAGTGCTATTGCATTATGACCAGTTAACCCATTCTTCTTGCCATCACCTGTCTACTTACTGGCTCAAAAATGAATCCAGAAAAGAGAGGTGCAACCGGTGTCCATAGCAAAAGAATACACATATAATTCAATGTCAAGATAGAGAATGTCATCACTGTGAAGTAAATAAACAACAGAAACATACATGGATAACACTATCCTAGTACTTGATGTCATTGAGAGCTATAGTGAAGACATAACCAGATAAGACTAATGGAATGAAGTCAACCATATCTGGTGTCCTGCTACACCTTATGATGTTACACAATTAAACAAACTAGGGCAAATTATCCGCATAGAGATCACTCAGAATTTTCAGTGATAAAAGTGGCATATACAAGAGAAAAATAAAGGGCAATATAATGCACAATGCCAACGATATTGAACTTAGGAGATTATCCTATACCTTACCGAGGCTTTGCATAATAAAAGCAAAACATTGGTGGATCAAGATTTATAGGGACTAAATGCACCTTTTGTGTCATCAAAAAAGCAACATTCATTTATCTTACATTAGCTTCTCTAAATTAAGTTCCAAATTGGCATTCATTTGCAGACCAAATTACTGCAACTTTGTAGGTTAAGCAGCTAGCGCATACCTCAGATAATATGGAAAACTATCAAATGAATCTGATATATCACTTGCATTAACGACCACCTTCTTCAGATCCTCTTTCAACAGTTGATGTTGAGCAACCTGTAAATTTTCTTCAGAAGCAAGCTGGCTCTGTTCCTCCATTGTTTTACATAAACTGCTGACTATCTCTGTATCTATTGAAGTTGAAAACAAAATAATATGAGGCATGTAGTTTTTGTCAAAAGTCCAAGCTCATTTCAAAGTACATGTGCATGCAATTCTTGTAATCAGACTATTGAACTCATTCACCTTCCCTCTATATGCATTTATTACTAAAATCATGCCACGGACTAAGAACTTATGTGCAAAGCATCAACATAGGAACATTATGTTCCCATCTGCAATTTTTCTGATTTTATAATCCCTACATCCATGTGCCTGGTCCAGATATGCCTTACAAATAAATGGATGGAATACATATACTATGAGCCCTCAAAAAGTTTACAGGGTTAAGAGGGGGAACAAAAACTGTTATAAAATAGCCTCACCATGAGGAACCAACGGAGGGCGGCCATTTCCAAAGTTAAAGGGCATTACTGATAGCTTGGCTCCTTTAGATGATACATCCAATGTACCTTTGGTAACTGGATATTGCCCTTGCTGAAAAGCACATGTGGCCGAAAATGTTGATGTGCTTGATCTTTCCTCTGGAAGTTGCTGAAATATCTGCGAACATGTTAAGGAGCTTCATATACAACATTAATACTTTTCTGAACAATCAATTACATTAGTGGAACAGATGCCAGTACAAGCAACACTTATGCAAGGGTAGTTGGTGATGAAAGGATACATAAGCATGTCTCCCAAGTGAACTAAAAATAACTTCATCGCCTCCAACCAATGTGACCTTAGCAGTCTTATCTAATACCTTCCCATTTACATGGACAGCTTTAGATACGTAAATCTCAAGAGCAGCACCCCTCTGGTACAAACAGGTCAAAAATTGAGTAAGAAACTCAAAAAAAAAAGGCAAGATGAAAACACGTAAGTCAAAATTTAGAAAAAAGAATGTGCAACTATACCTTAACATGCTTCAATTTGCAAATAAGTGATCCAGGAAATGACTCTGTCAGCCTCAAATCATAATTTCCACCATGGCCAACCGTAAAATGAGTAGTATAAATAGGTACTGAAGGAGACTGGAAAGGACAAAGATGAACACAATCATGAGCAAAGACAAAAGGACTCCATGGTGCAAATTAACACTATAGAAGTAAATGAGGCTGGTGTTCTCTCAAATTCTCAAGAGGCAGGCACCCTTTGCCAATAGAGAGAATCCACTTAGTGCCACTGAGTTTTTCCCACTTCTACAATCTACCACTGACTTTGTCAAGTTGAATAATATGCCATCGTGTTTTCCCAAACATCTACTAAGTGCCATCGCCATCCACAGGCCGTTAGGATGCATCCGTTTAGTGTATTGATTTTTTTCTTAATGACTAAAATACCCTTACCTTAGCACTTTGACTGAAGACCCTAGCCGTGCAATCCCCATTTGATCTGCCCAGTGTGTGGCAGCGCCGACTCCCATCGATGGAAGGCCAGCCGCCCGAGTCTCCGAATGGTGGCGTGATTTTTCGGGTTGGAATGGATTCAATCCATGGGTTAAGGTCTGGATCGATCCATAAATCACGACCAACCCACTCGCTCAGGTCATGTGCTACTAGCTGTGCTCTCCTCTTGCAGGTCATGTGCTTGCTTTCTGCCTCCCCCATTATCCATGGCGGCATGGCATCTCTGCTGCTGGCAGCTGCCACGCCGGCGGCAGCGGCTATGCCTACTCCACGGAAACGAGACGAGGTGCCCGGTGCCCCAAGGGAAGCCCGGACTGCTGCGTCGTCGGCAAGCGCTACCCGCGGTTCATGTGGCTCACAGCCGGTATCGGACATGCGCCGGCGATCCCGACGCTGCATATGTGCTTCCGCCGGAACATGGAGCTGGTCGTCGAGCTGTACTCCGGGTCTGGGTGGCTGTGCCTCGACGACGGCGGTGGTGGCGCACGCTGCCGCCGCTGCAACGGGAGGATCCGCGTCGTCGTCGCCGCCGCCGTGAATGGACGGTCTGTCGTTGTCAGGGTGGTGGACGAGTGTGACTACGTGAACGGGTGCTGCAACGAGGACGGCTTCGCGCCCCCGTGCCAGGACAACGTTGGCGGCGAGTCGCTGACTGTGTGGAAGAAGCTTGGCTCAAAGAGAACAGGGGCAAATAGGTCTTTTTACAGCTCTAACAGATGTCTAACTAACGGCTTATGGACAGCGATGGCACTCAGTAGACGTTCGGGAAAACACGATGGCATATTATTCAACTTGACAAAGTCAGTGGTAAATTGTAGAAGTGGGGAAAACTCAGTGGCACTGAGTGGATTCTCTCTTGCCAATAACCCTCCATCAGCATCCATTCAAACCTTTGAAATAATGAAATGCTGAACATACACAACCTAATCCCAATTCCCAAATGCTCTTGTATATTTTCACCCCAACCTATGTAAACTTGTTAACTTTTGTTTCGTCTTGGTCCAAGATCAGATAAAATATACAAAATGTATACCACTAAGAACTAAGGACAGAAGTTATGCCACTCGGAATTGAGGGGTTTGTACTTCTTTTTTCTGCAGAATGCGTGATTTAGTCCTTAGTCCTTAAAGACCACAACACAAATCCAGGTTCTACAAAAAAACCTTCGAAACAAAAAATTACTCTGTTTCCTGAAATCTGCTATTACTGTAGCACCTCATTGTCTATCAATGGAATGATCTTAGTGAACACAATAGGAAATTTCAGAACATATTGTTTCAACCGATTGGAAGTTGATCACCGAACCTCGGAAGATTGAGAAATCAGTCTTCCCCAAGCCTCAGCACGCCCGTTCGCCACCGCCTGCCTTGCCTTCCAGAGTGAGAGTTCTTCCGCTGATGGAACATTTATATACTTTGTCCTTTTCTTCTTCACTGAAGAATCGAAACAAGCCCAAATCAATCAGAAACATATCTCCCCTGAACTAAATCAATCCTAATACACCCCAAAAGCCGGAAAACCCAACCTCCAGAGTTGGACACCGTTGACGACGCCGGTACGGCGCCCGTGGGCCTCGCCACACCGTGCAGGTTTTCCACCGAGCTATCGATCACATCTATCGCCGCCGCCGCCGTCGCGTCTGCTCCCCCCGCCTTCGCCGCGGGAGTCCCTACCGTCGCCTCCGCCTACCGTACACACCAAAACCAACACAAAAAAAATCAGATAAAACCCCTCAAATTCCACCCCGCGTGAACACATGCAACGGACCTTCGCCCGCTTCCCCGACCGCCTCCGAGGCGTGGAACTCCCCGCCGCCCCCGCCCCCGCCGCAGCCCCATCCGTCGCCGGCGATGCCGCCTCCTCCGACGACGCCCGCCGCTTCGCCGCGGCGCTCCGCCGCGTATCCACCATCGCTCCCCCGGATCGGCGACGCGCGCACGCAAAGGGAAGAGGAGGAAGGAAGGCGGCCGCCGCGAGGGACCGAACCGTAATTTCGCGCGCCGAGCCGAGACGATACCACGGAGAGAAGAAGAGGCTTGGGGTTCTCCCCTCTTTTCCGTTTAAGGAACGCGAGGTAGGTGGTGCGGGGGAGGAGGGAGGCCCGCGCTTATATATAGGCCCCCGACCCGCGCCGAACCGGCAAGCGGCCCGACGAGAAAAAAACCGGTTTATTTTAAAGCCGCAGACATTTTGCCGACTTGGTTGTGGTGCGGTGCGGTGCGTTGAGACACACAGGCGGGGGGACGTTGACCTGTTGTTGCGGCGGCGTTGGGTGATGCGTGCGGCTACCGGCTTGACCGGTCCGACCGGTCGGGTGGTGGGGTTTAGGTGCGGTGTACAAAGGGAGGCGTTAATAATTGGGCGAGATTAGGATTCGGATTAGGATAAAACACACGCTTATGGGTTCTGGGTTTGATGTTGCTTTCGGGCCGTTCAATTTGTACTGTCTTTTCTTTTTCCTTTTTCCCAATCTTTTTCGTTGATAGACTGTGTTTGTCTCGTTTGGACAAATGCCCGCCAAGATGGATATCCCTCGTCATGGGATTTTCTCACGATTTATCGATCCTGACCTCGACTTACCAAGTACGGCGGACGCTACCAAGGGTAGTTGCCAATTTTTGCCGACAATATCATTTTGTTTTTCAGAAGGTCCACCTTATATTAAACTTTAAAACGTGAAGAAAGTGTTTTTTTAACCCCTTTACAAAATAACAATTTTTAGCTATATGTATCTGGACTAATATTCGTCCAAATGCATAGTTAGAATTGTTATTCTGAAGCGTAATTATAAACTTGCTCTCTATGGAGTTAACCCCGATTCAACCAACGTGACGTTGTGGCTATACTCGGTGCTGAGTTATTTTGGCTTTCGGTGGCTAGCGATGTTGCTACGGATACAGTTTAGTGATATTTTCAATTTTAAAAATGGTAGGTAGATAGCTTCTGGACGTATTCACATGTATTCAACACCTTGCGTCAGTGTATCCCTTAGCTCATATGCAATAAGTAACGTGCCGTATATATATACTGCTACAAAGAAAAACATTTTATATATGTTGAGATATTGGTACCACTTTTTCGGTGGAAAGCAAGAAACGTATACTGGATTTCCTACGAAGGACAACTGCACCTTATGGATGTATCACGTTTGTCGACCCACGATACTTTGGAAGTATTAAATGTCATGTATATCATCTTTGTTCACCTATTTTACTGTTTCAATTTATGATGAATTGCTAAAACAAGGCATTTATTAAGATATCATGGCGTTAATATTCGCCTTCTTTTTCGCTATAAAGGAAGAAACGGCTACGGGTTTTCCTACAACATGTAGCTTTACACTTTGCGTGAATATAAATTCGCAATACTCTAGAATCACGTCTTAGAAGTAAATATTCCCTAGGTTTAAAGTTTTAATTTGTGATGAAACGTTAAAACTTGACATTTTTTTAAGATATCATGGTGTTGATCCGCCTTCTTTCTGGTTGGAAAGGAAGAAACGTATAAGAGATTCTTGATAACCTGTAGCTATACACCTAGCACGTCACATTGGCAAATACTACTTAACACTTAAATTATTTTGTGCCATATATATAGTCTTAGATAAGTTGGTTTTCCCTAGTTGAACGTTTCATTTTTGTTATGAAAAGTTTAAACAATACAAATTATATTGGTGTAGCTTCTTTTTTTAAAAAAAAAGGTAGAAACATCTACTATATTTAATCCAGCTTGCAGCTGAAATTAATCACGTGAAACGTATGTGTTGAAAAAACCTTGTGCTGATGCACCATGTTGGCATGTCTGCAGCACTTCAAGTATTTCATGACAGTAGAGCGGAATTTTCTCTTCTTCTATTGTATTCCTTACAAGAATGAGAGTTTTTTTTTCATAGGTGGATCCAGGAGTGGTCCCAAGACCACCCAAAATAATCCTAGCCCAATACATATATATATACATATGTGAAAATAAACTTAAAAAAAAGAAAAGAAGCTCCTTTATTAATATATTATGATGCACATTTAATCAATTTATACTTCTAATTAACTTGGTTATATTTAGAGTATTTAAAAAGTTATAAGTGTTGGATCACCTATATAAAATTTCATCATACGCACTGTTGTTGTGAGAGAAAAACACAAGGTGTTGGTCCGTTGGATGATCTATCTGAGATTATAAATATAAACGTGGAGCTTTTTGCAAAAAGCAAACCTCACATAGCATTTTCCAAGAAGAGAAAAAGTTCCGAAAAACGCTGAAAAAATTGCTCCCCAAAGGGTTTTAATTGCGGATGATGTATATCGTCTTGAGGGGCCGGAAAAGTGTGTTGGTTGGATTTCGACTTCTATAATTAACCATACCTTTCATTGCATTAGGATAGCGCTTTAAGTTTGGAAGTAAATTGTTACATGTGACAATGTATGTGATCCTACGAGTTATCTGAACTTCCATTTCAAACTATGGATAGGCTGCTGCTACCGTAGTATTTTTTGACCAAGTTATTTATTAAAATATAAATATTTTTTATGAGTAAATTGCATATTGGGTCATGTATTTTTTTACCATGGTTTCAGACTAGATAACTTAATCCAATGTTTTCACTTTCAACTATAATTTGTTTCCAAAAGGTTGCACTTTGAACCAGTAGCCCACCTGTCAGTGCCTATCTTTCATCTTTATCTCTATTCGGTCTCCACCAACAGCGTATGCAAAAGCGACCTCGAGCGAAGTAGAGTAAGTGCTAGGGCGGATCTTGAGCTTGGTGAGAACGAGGTAGAGCTTGAGCAACCCAGAATTAGCAATAGGGGAGGTTGACCTCGACCTCGAGCTAGGATGGTGCATCTAGGGGGTAGATGGCGGCGGATCCTGAGCGCAGGGTCAACGTCAGCGGAGCCTGAGTAGGTGGAACCCGAGCTTGACCTCTGCCTACACTACATCGCCCCCATCGCACCGGTGGGATCAGCCATGGGCTCGTTCTCTGCTAGCTTTGTCTTCTGTTGGCATTATCGTTGTCCTCTTCCCGTGGCTTGACCTCGACCTTGACCTTGCCACAATCTCGACCTTGACTCCAAGCCTCTTTGCTCATGCAATCCACATGCTCGAGCTCATGCACACCGCTGTGACTGTGAGATAAAAGAGAAGGTTTTCCATGCTTTGGTTTTTTTTTAACCCTAGCCTACCTGATCAATGGGCCACGAGTTTAAAGTGTAACTTTCAAACACAGCTTACTACTTGATAGGCTATGTTTAAGAAGAGAAATAAAAAAGATACACAAAACGAGGTACCCCTCCGTACTCATAAAGAAAGTCGTTTAAGTCAAACCTTGGGGAATATAAATCATAAATAACTCTCAAGTTATTGAGTTTGAAAATGTGAAAATTATATGAATAGATTTGTCTTGAAAAATACTTTTATAAAAGTATACATATATAACTTTTCAAAAAGATATTTTTATAGAAACAAGAAGTCAAAGTTGTGTTTTGGAGACCTTGTCGATGTCCAAAACGACTTCCTTTACGAGTATGGAGGGAGTAAGTTATTAGTGTGTAACTAATAATTATTTTAAACCTAAAAAATGAATTTTTAAAAAGATACACAAAACAATTTTTCTATTGAAAGTTTTTTTTAAAAAAAGATATACCGATTAGCAGTTTGAAAAGAGCGTGTGAAAAATGATGTTGTTTTCTTGTTTTTGTTTAACTCTCGAACACAGTCTAAAGTGAAAACACTACTGTGAAACTAGGATGAAGAAAAACATAACCTACTGTAACCCTGTTTAGTTTCAAAGTTTTTTTTCATACTTCCAACTTTAGTGTGAACTAAACACAGCATGTATTTTAAAGTACTACTCCCTCAGTCCCACAATATAAGGGATTTTTAGTTTTTGCTTGCAACGTTTGACCACTCATCTTATTCAATTTTTTTTTAAATATAAAAAACGAAAATTTGTGCTTAAAGTACTATAGATAATAAAGTAAGTCACAAATAAAATAATTAATAATTTCAAAAAATTTTAAATAAGACGAGTGGTTAAACGTTAGAAGAAAAAATCAAAATCTCTTATATTATGGGACGGGGAGTAGTACGTACCTGGCTAGGCGAGTACAGTACGCACGGAGATGAGAGGTCGTCGGCCGAGGCGTCATGATCATCTGATTGAAAAGGTGCGGCGGAAACAGGAACAGTGGAGCGCAACATGCGTCATGGTTGTGTGTGCAAACATAGCCCACCACCGAACACCCAGCTATTTTAACGCTTTTTCGGTGTTGGGAAATCGCGCCGTCTCCCATCACGGAGCGTTGCGTTGGAGTAGCAGTATTTGGGGCGGACGGTGTACGCCAGCCGACTTGACCAGCCCAGCTAGCTAGCTACACCACCACCTGTAGATCGCACGTGTTCGGCGTTGTTCCATCGATCCCTGTACTGCTGTCAAGAGAGAAGAGAGTGGAGTAGCAGGTTGGTGGGGAGTACTGTATTTATTTACTCGCTGCGCGGCGTGGCGTCGAAAGGCTTGTCAATCTGCACGTATCGTCAGCGGGGACCGACGTACGCCACGCGAGTGTGCGCGATGAGGTCCAGCCCCTTATCGCTTGTAGTTGTATCGCTTGTGAGAGCTAAGCTACGCTTCCTGAAGTATAATTTGGTTCTTCTAAGGACAGATCGTCCAGCTAGTAGTAGCTAACTCCCCCGTTTTCAAAATACTAAGGACACTGTATAATTATTGGTTACTGAAAAAATAACAAGCCACCATTTTAGCGGCAATAATTGCATTGAAATTCGTGCAAACTCTTTTACCTATCCCTCTTGTCTACCCCTCCGTCCAAAAAAAAAAAATAATACTACCTATGAACCTGGAAGGCTGGACACAAACTAAGAATTCGTTTTTTGACAGAGTAGTATTCCGCTCTTCGCATGCAGTTTGTCATCACCGCCTCCCCTCCCAAGTCCCAACCACGCTAGTCCTCATGATCACCAGCTAACCAAGAAGCCCAATAACAACGTCGAGGAACCGCTGCACCTTGCAAGCCTGCAATTGGCGGATTGGAAGCTGGCCTACATACAATGGAGGAATAAGTTCATATA